AAGATAAGTATAGAAAATTATATAATCAGCTGGTTTTCCGTCGAAACACCGACGTTCATATTAAGAATTTTAAAATTTCTATTATCCTTAGCTGGCGAAACATTGACATCAATCTTATCATGCCTAACATCACACACATCAATACATATAACAGGCAACTCATCATTGCTTACTTTCCTATCTGCTTCCAAGACGCTTTGTTCTTTCTTTGACGCAGGCATTATTGAACTTGACCAAACAATCCAGAAAAGTTCCTGAGAAGACGGGCGGACACGAGGGAAGACGAAGAGAAACTATCAGAAATTCTCAATGTCCAGGTCTTACTACACTGGACCTCATGCTGTTTTTGGAAGACTTTCAGAAACAATTTGTAACGCGAAAAACCAGAACACAGATTGGTGACTCGAGAATCTTTTATTCCTACGCCAATATGTACCCAACAACAAGGTTATTATACACAAGGTCTAAGAATAAATGTCAGCCACGTCTCGTAAACCGTCAATGCCCAGCTCTTGCTACACTGGAACTCACGCTGTTCCTTGAAGTTTCTCAGAAACGCTTAGTAATAACGGACGCAAAACCAAAACACCGATTGGCTACTCGAGAATTCTTTATTGTAACACCGATATATAGCCAACTTTAAAATTAAGTTTTAACTAAGGTCTATGAACAAATATTACAATAATAAATCACAATATTACTTCTGACGGTTTTGTACGTGCGATTGTCATCACCCAGTTGATGCGTGTTTTGGCAAACAACACACTCATCCTTTCTCGCTGGGCCTTGAGCCTTTACTACAAATGATTTCTTTATATTCACAGGTTCCTTAGGTTCTACTTAGAATGCATTATGCTGGCGAATTTTCCCGTCGATTGGTTGGAGTTGTCTTTCACCAGCTTCATAATATCATCGAATCCAGGCTCCAAACCATCTTCCTCTAGTCGGGAACTAACCTTTAATAACTTCCTTTGTAGACGAACCGGTAATTTTTTGACAACTGTCTCAAGCACCGAACCTGCGTTCAACTCATCCATATTGTTAAGCTAAAAGAGAGTGTTTCTGTATATCATTAAAATTATCCAAGGACTCTGCGAGTTCCTCGGGGTTGTCTCTTAACTGCGCCCCATTACCTTTAACAGTCTCAAAAATGCTACGGGATATCATAAATCGCTTTCCAAACCTTTGACGTAATATGCTCAGAGCCTCAGTGTATCCCTCATTAGGAGGCATGAACTTACAGCACTGTATAGCTCTTGAAGCATGATTTTAAACTCTCTTATAAAGTGTAAATAGTCAGCTGGGTTTCCGTCGAAACACCGACGTTCATATTAAGAATTTTAAAATTTCTATTATCCTTAGCTGGCGAAACATTGACATCAATCTTATCATGCCTAACATCACACACATCAATACATATAACAGGCAACTCATCATTGCTTACTTTCCTATCTGCTTCCAAGACGCTTTGTTCTTTCTTTGACGCAGGCATTATTGAACTTGACCAAACAATCCAGAAAAGTTCCTGAGAAGACGGGCGGACACGAGGGAAGACGAAGAGAAACTATCAGAAATTCTCAATGTCCAGGTCTTACTACACTGGACCTCATGCTGTTTTTGGAAGACTTTCAGAAACAATTTGTAACGCGAAAAACCAGAACACAGATTGGTGACTCGAGAATCTTTTATTCCTACGCCAATATGTACCCAACAACAAGGTTATTATACACAAGGTCTAAGAATAAATGTCAGCCACGTCTCGTAAACCGTCAATGCCCAGCTCTTGCTACACTGGAACTCACGCTGTTCCTTGAAGTTTCTCAGAAACGCTTAGTAATAACGGACGCAAAACCAAAACACCGATTGGCTACTCGAGAATTCTTTATTGTAACACCGATATATAGCCAACTTTAAAATTAAGTTTTAACTAAGGTCTATGAACAAATATTACAATAATAAATCACAATATTACTTCTGACGGTTTTGGCCTGACTTGTTTCTATACAGCGACCGATGAACGTCGTCATTTTTATCGATGTCTCCGCGAAAATATATGGATTTTGGGTCTGAGGCACCGACCATGAATTTATCGCTCCATCTTCAACTGTATTGCCAGCGTCTATTCTAGTGTCTCCTCTGCCATGTTTCTCTCATCCCATGGTTTATCATGTCTCACGCTTATGCCAGAACTTCTGTCGTGGCTATTGCCTGAGCCACTAATAGTATTATTTTGGTCTCCTCGGCATTGTCCATTGTAACCCCTAATGGGGGTGGCTTACCTTGAGGCGTGTGGACACCTCTGTACAGCCTGCACAGTTCCGCTGAACTTATATTCGGACCTAATCTATTGCACAATTTGGACGGCTGTTCCTGATCAAACAGAGCCCGTTGTTCAAACAAGCTATCCTTGCTCACAGGTACATTAAGAAGGATAGAGAATTTGACCGACAGCTCAGACTTGGGTTTGGCCTTTGGCTGCTTGTATTCTTTTGCAGAGTTAGTAGCTGTAGGCTTCATCAGGCTTTGGCCAGCCTATGTTATGTTGCCAAGCTTCTAGTAGGTGCAAGGGGGGCTTTTGTAATTCTGTCTTTCCCTGTATTGTGAATGCAACCTTGGGATTCTTCACCTTGTGATAATTGGTATTTCCAGTCAGTAGACCTGGTGTGTCCTCCTTACTGTCTGTACCAAGTTTTGGTGGTGTGGTGTTAGCAGTGGGACCTGCACGAGACTGTGTTGAGACATAGGAGTGCGTGTTATTTCTGCTATCTCCAGACACGCTTTGTAGGACTACGCCAGGGCGACAAACCGGACACACGTACCAAAACTATGGGCACGGGTTATTTCTCATAAACTCGTGGTATGCTTTCGGTACCGCTCTGTCACAACGACAGGGCACCCATCGTTTTCAGAAATTGCATTCAACACTGAGTCAGTTTTAGGAACTATGATACTACATGCCTGACATTCATCTCCCTTCCTTGATGACGCCTTCGGGGTCTTGTGACGTCTTGAACGTTTCCTTCTAGCTTTGCTGTGTTTCACACACTGGCGTTCAGTTGATGCAGGTGTAGTATCTTTTCATCCTGGTAATGCCTGTGCCGTTTCAGTGCTAGACTGTGGCAATTCAGGCATAGTATCGGGACAGACAAGACCCACACGAATCTTAAGGATCAGTGTGCGGAAGGGGTTGAAGTCCCTGTGTTTTTGCCTTATCTGGCCGAAGCCCTCGTGACTACAGAGTATGGTGTTTTATTGCTTTACTTAAGGCTATTTTTGACAGCCATATTAACAATCACTGTGACTTATGCCGTCTATGTAGTTGAAGATTGAACGATCATTTCGTGGTTGTTGGCTCAAACCCAACTTCCCCAATTTTTCGCGAAGGCATCAATACACCAGTCATCGTCTCATTGATCGCTGTTCAAAAAGCACGTACAAAACCGTCAGAAGTAATATTGTGATTCATTATTGTAATATTTGTTCATAGACCTTAGTTGTAATATTGGCTATATGTTGGTGTTAGAATAAATAATTATCGAGTCGCCAATCTGTGTTCTGGTTTTTGTGTCCGTTCGTACTAAGCGTTTCTGAGAAGCTTCGAGGAACAGCGTGAGTCCCAGCGTAGCAAGAGCTGGGCATTAACGGTTTACAAGAGGAGGCTGACCTATGCTATATAAGAATAGGAGTGCAACAGCGTCTACCCACAAGAACAAGAATAGGACTGAAAAAGTACAAGACAAGGAAAAGAAAAGGTTTTGGACTTCAAACAGTACTTCCTGGATGATCGGCTTTACATCAATCACGTTGTGAACCAACAAGTCTTGTTCATCTGAACGAGTGAAGGAGATGCTCCTACAGAAGTGGCACCTGAAATTTCGGCAGTAGCTGGAGACTGTTGTACCTACCACACAGAGACTTAATATGTAAGTAATGGTTGAATTTAATTCACCGGCTAGGTAGATCAGGTTTCCCAAACGGATAATTCACAAAATAGGTATCTTCCGGTTAGAGAGGAGAAAGCACGTCGTACTCAAGGAGCGCATGCAAGGTCTATGTGAACATATAATATACGTATACAAATTAGATTAAAAAGCGTGTTTACAGATGGTTTACGGGTACTACACGACTTTACATAGATTCGGTAATGCGTTAGATACTATTCAGCATCATAGCCACTCAGTTAGCTGACGGCTTTAAGATATGGTTTGCAATCAGTCTTAAATGTTTACATCTGGTGATATTAGGTAGACTGAACGCACTTGTCTTTTATTTGTGTGTGCTGTTATAGAGAAGCGCTTGCTTACATATATTTCCGAGGTCTGATAGTTCAACCATTCAGCTAACAGATCTAGACCATCTTCCAATCAACCTGAGTGCTATTGTGTCTTAAGTCTTGAAAAGCTCGATCTCGTTGGCGAAATTCAGATAAGGTGATTTGATTGCGAACAGTATCTCATTTACATGAAATGAGTAGAGAAGATTGCCTCGAGTTGTACCGCGCCACACTCCATCGAATGCCACTATGAAAAGAAGCCAGTTTATCACACTGTCAGTATAATATTGCTGGGTAGGCCCTGGGTTAATCCAAGAGAACTTCAATTTATCAGATGATCTGTACGGCAAAGTGGTGCTTAAGTCAGTGAATTCGCCGTCCAAGAGATTATTACTATTGACTGACTATGAAAATGTGTGTAAACAAAGAAATACTGTGATTTTTAAGTCGTTCCGGAAACGAATATCCAGTTATCTCTCTTCCTTCCATCCTTCCGGGCCAGATAAATGTAGTGGACCAATTATCTACCAAATGTAACCTGCGGGAAGAAATCCAGGGGTTAGCAAATTCAGAAATTTCTGGCATTGTCTTGGACACTTACAGATTTATTTAATAATACTGAGAGGAACTAAGTGTTCGGCAAGGTGATTTTACTTGGGAAACTGTTGTTTGAAGTTATTTGTTTATCTGCTCTATACGTCTATTAGGAGTTGATTTATTGGGTCACGATTCATACCCGCGATCTATGTCGTTTATCGGAAGACGAGCAAGTTCTGGACGCTTCGCCAGGGACTCTCTAGTCAATAATGACTTAGTCCATTCAATTAATCCTGAAGTTTATCAGCGTAAATATGTTTTCGAAGTTGCTTGGGAAGTAGTCAATAAAGGTAAGACTCGGCATATGAAGCTTTGTTTTGTCGTTTCTCAAAAAGTTAGAAAATTTCTTATCTGCTTCATATTACACATTTTTCAGTTGGTGGAATATATACTGTCATTCGCACTAAAGCCGCATCCACGGTTGAGGAACTTGGTGACCGTTATATTTTGATAGGACCTCTGAACGAAGTATGTATGAGAACCGAGGTCGATGTTGCTGAACCAAGTAACGAGGCACTGAAACGGACCATCAAGGCTATGCGTGATCATGATATTAAGGTAAGTCGTGTAGATCAGTGCATCGTGCTCTCATTTCAGCATTTATGTCGTAGTTATAGGGATGTCACTTTTTTACTTTTTGAGTCATAAGACTTCACCCACAAAAGTGGGAATGTTTCCGGTTTTCCATCAAATTACGTATGGTACCACTGTGCGAATTAAGATTTGGACTTTTGCAATCGAAATTCATTGTCACAGTGCACTCTGATTCATGGAAAAAACGAGTGTGTAGAGTTTATTTCTTAATTCTAAGGTTATGTATTGAGGAGTCGGTGAAATATATGGGGTAATTGCACGGACTGCTTTGACTATGATTTCAACAGGAGACACTGATAAAAAGACTTCACAGTAACCATATATATCTGTATATTTTATCAAACTACGGTGACAACTTCGACGTGAGGTAGTATCAGCTCTGCTGGAGCAGTTGGTAACGGAATTTTGGTGTAGATTCATCAATTTGAAATGTCCGTTGTTTCACTAAGGTTTGATTATACATTAATGGATGAGTGTACTACTGAGTAGTACGTTTCTGGGCCGTGATTATTTGTGATGGCTGATAAACAGATGCGCATTTTTTCCAGAATTTACTTTTTGAAATATGACTCTCATATGCTGGAAATATTTTTAGAAATAATAGGGTTAATATGGCAACCAATAAGTAGTATATGTGTACTCAGCAACCCTTGATAACGCAGTTTTTTTCTGACTGAATCACATAGTTTCTCACTTGCTTGTTTAATAAAATTTCAGATCATTGTTCATATCACTAAGTCAGCATATGTTTTTCTCCCTTATTAATTGAACAAATGCAATTCTAAGGTCATTCAAAGAAAATATTTTTCGCTGGTGAAAAACATGTATTCTTTGGCTCCTTTTCCTCTTAAATTGTACTGTTATCACCCTCAGCGACAGTGAAGCCCCTTTTTCTAACTACTCTGAAAAAGCCAACTCTCACCACTCCAAAACATTTTTTCAGACATATCGAAGACCTCTAAAGCTGACATAATTTAATGAAATTAAGTGACCGATTTAGATATTTCCTGTTATATGCCATTAAAAACAGCAACATATATTGTGACTCACCACAGTCTCACAACTGAGAAACCGAGGCTATGTGTTTTTTATTGTTATTGTTGTTTTTCACTCATAGATCGTTTTCGGTCGGTGGCTTATCGAGGGTTATCCAAATGTTGTCCTATTTGATATCGGGTCTTCTGCTTGGAGGATTGATTCATGGAAGAAAGAGTTATGGGAGTCTTGCAACATCGGCGTCCCGGTTCACGATAGTGAGTGTAACGATGCTGTCATTTTTGGCGGACTTGTTGCCTGGTTTTTGAAAGAAGTGAGTAACTAGTAAATTGACTGTTATTAGATTTTAAAAATTACAGTGTTTTTTGTGATTACTTAGATTGCTGAATCAATTGAACCGTAGAGGGCTTTAATAATTGACCATATTTACTACACAGAAATGATGAGATTTTAAAGTTTCTAATTCAATATACAAAAATCTATTGGTGATGGGAAATAATATGTAACATAGTGTTTTGAGTAATATGAAGTCACTGGTTTGGCTTATAACCATAATCACAGTTGAATTTTCCCTCTTTTGGTTCATTGGAACAACTTAAGAAGGGAAGCATTGAATTGTGTTTATTATATAAGATAAGCGTATTTCGCTTGCCGGTTTGGTAGATGGAAGAACTCTTATCTTTATCGCATCCGAATACTCCGACAATGAGAATAAGTTTTTATTCGTCTTTATATTTATGGTTTCTGTGCACAAATTTATTGGAAAGAAGTTCAAGCATGTTACTCACACAAAATCGGAAAGTAGAGGTCACTATAATAGGGATATGATTTTGGAGGCACTTCTTATATTGTGTTAAGACTACCAGTTTTCCATTTTTAAAACACCATTTTTCCGAAAGTGTCATGATTTGCCACATAAAGTCTAAATTTTTATGTACAATTAAGTAATTGTATATTCAGTTTGCAGTGGAACTGCTTGTATACTACTGTTTTTTCTTGTGACATAGTATTACCAAGGTAAATCCCTGATCATTTGCTGTCATTTTGTGTTTTCAGTTTGCTGAAAATGCACAAGAATTAGAAACGGATCCTCAACCGCCAATAATTGCACATTTTCATGAATGGCTGACAAGCATTGGCCTAATATTTTCACGTACACGTCATCTACCAGTTGCTACTGTGTTCACCACGCATGCAACACTTTTGGGCGTTACTTATGTGCATCTTCCGTTGACTTGTATAACCATCTTCCGAAGTTTGATTTGGACAAGGTTTGTCTTCATTTTCACTTTTTGAATTATTTTATGAAGCTCTTGCTAATACCTAGCTATAAATCCTTATGTATTATTATTCGTTACTTTTCCACATGATTATTCGTTCAGCCTTAGATTAATTAGGATGACTCAATCAAATCGAAACCAACAACCTCAGTGAAGGTGTTATTTGTGCTTCAGAGAGATGAATAGTAGTTTCTCTTACTGATGCTTGTGTATCATATATTTTTCTGGTTTATTTTTTTCGTGAGGTGAAATCATTGTGTTAAAGTTAGGCAAATCAAATTTCAGATTTCGTGCATCTAATAGATTTTATGAAATTACATAGTGAATCGTAACTTTGAATGTACTTATTTATATAGTTTATTTTATTTATTATCCCCGGACCATGTGCATCGTCGGCGAGCGCCCTAACCGCTATGCCAAATATGTGAATGCAGAAAGAAGTGGTTATTTAAGTCATGCTTGCATCCACACTTGTATTTGCTGAATGACTATCAAGTGGTAGAGCAGGTTTCTCAGACAAACCACTTGACCCCTGCTTGATTTGTGCTTTGCTTAGGTGACAAGAATCTAAGTAGCAAGTAAATCTATTTAAATGGCAAAATCCTTTTCATTCATCATCATTCTGTGCTTATGCCTGTTATATCATTTTTTGGTGGGGGTGGGTGTCTATTTAAAAATTATTTACTGTGTATTGTGCATCTGCCTGTTAATATGCTGCTCTCCAACTGTCTAATCGGCTTAACACAGCTTTCGGTAAGTTACGGTCCCAATCAGATTAGAAATGTTGAAATAACTGGTTTTGTATGTAGGAAGTGTGGCGAGCAGTCTTATATCCTACCATACATCTCGTTCAGTGAGTTACGTTTCAGACCGAATGGTACTGAGCTAAGCTACCTTTTGGAATTTGTATGTAGGAATGAAAAGCAAGTATGAAAACTACGTATAAGTAAATACTTTATAACAAGCATTACCTCCGTAATTATTTGTTATGTTTATTTTTTGTGGTATTGAATTGAAACACCAGTCATTTGAGAATAGTAAACGTTTTATTTATTTTACTGTTTGATGACAGCTAACTGATTATCTGTGTTTTTATCATAAGTCTGCATTTTGAACCTTTATTTAAAGCAGATTTATCATATGTCTCATATTCTTTGAGTGCATAAACTCTAGTGATACTAGTTTTCTTCTTGGAATTGTGACTACAATTTCTTGAATCAAATCTGTCAGTTGTAATTACTAAAGGAAACGTCATTAAAATGAAGACATTCCAATATGCGTTTTATCCAAACGTTCATAAATTTTCCTGTCTTTTTGTAAACTTCAGTATTCATTATTCGCTTCCTCTGTGTCGTGGTGTTTGGAAGTTTAGGAAACAGAGCTGATGCACTTTTCTGCAAAGTTATGTAATGCCATATCTTATTTCTTGTGTGTTTTAGGTATTGGTTTAGATTCGAATTCCATTATACTTTATCACATATGATCTTTATTTATTTCCCCTCTATAATAAGTTCACCTACAGTAATCTAGTCTTTTTTTCAGTGACTACTTAAGGATAAAAAACACTGTCATGTAGGTAGTCATACGAAATTATAGGGGTATAAATGAACATGATTTCCAGTAAATTTATGTATTTAGTATGCGCTTTTGAAATTATTCCGATTTGTTCGACTAATTTTTGTATATATTCTGCTTCTGTAGGAAGCTGGTGATCGAAATATTTATCATCGATACTGTCTTGAACGTGCCGGTGTTCACTGTGCGCATACATTTACAACAGTTAGTAAAATTACTGGATTAGAAAGTAAATATCTTTTACGAAGAGAACCAGATGTCATCACTCCGAATGGTCTTAATGTCATTAAATTTGCTGCTCTGCATGAATTTCAAAATCGTCATGCATTGGCGAAAGAAAAGTTGAATCAATTCATTCAGGGACATTTCTATGGGTAAGTCAGTTACTTTAGTGTTAATTCAACTTTCATATCCAACTTTCTGTTTCAAACAATAACTTTTGAAATTTGTTTATCATTTTTTTGTTTTAGGCATTATGATTTTGATCTTGATAAGACCTTGTACTTTTTTATTGCTGGTCGTTATGAATTCCAGAACAAGGGGGCTGATGTATTTATTGAGTCACTGGCTCGTCTCAATCATCACCTAAAAGTATGTTAGTCTTTTTAATTCAAACTAACTTATAGTTTTTATTCCTTATCTTTTTCTCAGTCACTTTTCTTTTCATTCTATTTATTAGTTTATTACTCATTGAAACAGTCACTGTTTTGGGGTTATTTTTGACGTTATGATGCGTGTCACAGTATATAGTTATAAAGTGTGATTATATTTTTAGTTTATTAGCGAGTTGCGTCTCATTGGTTCATGCACTCGCCCTTCAATTTGGGGATCATGGGTTCAAAACCCATTACGTGCATCGACATTTAGGCAGGTTTGGGTAGTATAACCAACACACACAATAGGTATGGCTCATGGCCAACTGCACGGAATTGCAAATGGTTGCTAAGTAACTTTTAATATTTAGTTCTTATTAGATTCATTTGAGTTCTCTGTTGAATCAAAGCCTACTACAAAATATAACCAGTTAAATATGAAAGTAATGGAGATCACATAAGTATCTGGATTTACAAATCACATTGGTATCAGCCTCATTTGTTTTGTAGCTGCTAATATTCAGAAATTGTCTTCTTATTTCAAGTAAAAAGGTAGTTTATTTATTAGAAATGGATATATACACTCGGCGCACGTCACCTGTAGTAATTATCACTATATGACTAATTCCTTTCAGTAACTGTTTACTCCACATAAAATTTAATATCAAAGGTTCTGAATTGTGTGCAATAAGATGTGAGTAGAAATACAAGTGTAAGAGATAGAAAATACTACTATGAAATATTTTTGTAATAAATTGTGATATTTATGCTTTTTTGGAATTATTGGTGTATTTCATCCTCAAAGTTTATGGTACTTTTGCATACTCTTGTTTCTCCTGTAATTTAGAGGCGTACATTTCCCTTAATAGCCTTTTTGTAACACGCCTTTCAATTTCTATAGGTTTCTTTACTATGATCTAAGAACTTATTCTGTTTTGACAGTTTGGAATTTGAAGTTTGTATCTGTAGTCATCGTCTCGATTTTACCTTCAGAAGGAAAGTGCGACTTGGTAAATAGTAGGCTGTGTACGGCATCTGCCTTGTTGCTATCTAAGCTGTAGATAAGCAGTTTTCGGAGCTACTAAAAAATGATATATTTCCTAAATTTATTTTTGGGTTATTTCGCATTCTGCGTTGAGTGATTATGTTGGACAGGAATGGTCAGTCTCTTTTGACATGTCAGCTTCTGGTACGAACGCTTCGATGATGTCTAACGATCTACAAATTTACCTAAAAGCACAAGAGGTGGATCTCTTGGTCGAGTAGTCTAGTGCATAACTCTAGCGTTTAAACCGATGTGTGGGAAGTTCAAGTTTCAGTGAGAACACTACCACTCACTAAGGATACAAGTACATTCAGATCAGCAGTCCTAAATTGGACGGAGTGTACATCCTAAATTTCACTGCTAGTTACCATTCTCTAACTTTTTTCTCCATGAATTATTTAAATATACGTGTGTAAACTGAAGATTGGAAAGAATAAACTGGTCTTCCATCGAAACTACTTTTCCAAGTTTATCGTACACCACATTAAGTGTAAATATTCTCTAACGAGATTTATTTCTGTATTAATCTAGGGATTTACCCACCATATACTACTTCCAATCGATTACTACTATTCAAAAGACCCGTCTGTTACATAGTCTTCATTTTTGATATTTTGAGTTATTTCAGTTAAAAAACTCATTACAGTTATTCTTTATTGCTATAACTTTATTTTAGCAAGCTCAGACTGATGTCACTGTTGTCGCATTTCTCATCTTTCCGGCCCACACAAATAGTTTTAATGTGGATTCTTTTCGCGCTCAAGCTATTGTAAAACAATTACGTGAAACAGTGAACTCAATTCAATGTGAGATGGGGCATCGCTTGTTTGAAGTATGTCTTCGTGGACGTATTCCTCAAGGAACTGATATACTTACTCAGGTAATTTTTAAACTTTTAATTTAAAGACTGCACAAATTCAATTTCCAAACTTAATTTACAATGATGCTATTAAAATTGTATTGTGGTCTCTTTTTAGGGTGATATATATCGACTTAAACGTTGCATATACGCAACACAACGAAATAATTTACCTCCTATTTGTACACACAATGTTGTTCAAGATAACATCGATTTAGTGTTATGCAATTTACGCCGATGCCAATTATTTAACGATCGTCACGATCGTGTTAAGGTAAGCTTAGCATTATATTCGTTTTCACCCTGCTTTTCTTGATAACCTTATTGTTTATACGAAAATACGTTCCTATACTCCTTTTGGTGGTAGCATGTCAAGTGATAAGGCCGCTTTAGCTGCTTTTTGCAGTGAAACACTGAATAGATACGCAAGTCATCGGTAAGTACTAGTAAATTATTAGGACACTAAGTGTGATCTAAAGCTCCCTGTGTCACATATATTTATTTCATAATTAGATTCATGCATTACAAGATGTCTTCCATATAAACTACAAATCTGTTAGTATTTTTGTTCAATCCTATACTCAATATGAGGTGTGAGAGTAATTCTTACGCCTTTTCAAAAGACAGTTCAGCATCATATATATATATATATTCGATAATAATATAAATATTTCTGTTTCTCTCATTGAAGGTTATTTTCCACCCGGAGTTTTTGAGTTCTACTAATCCACTATTGCCTATGGATTACGAAGAATTTGTACGAGGCTGCCATTTAGGTGTATTTCCCTCCTACTATGAACCATGGGGTTATACACCAGGTAAGATATGTCTGTATGTCTATCAAACAGTGTTATTTTATTATCGTGAAGTTAGACAGTTAACTAACTACTGCCCATTCCTTCTTTCAAAGTGCAATTTCATCTTTTTACGTATAAACATTGGAAGTGTGATTGGCTGATTAAATTTTTGTTTAGCACGAACAGTTTATTTTGGTTAAAAATAATGTCAATATAAATGAAGGTCGGTACCATTGGTGAAAAGTAGACAGAAATAACAACTGTCTTTTACTGGATAAATTTAGTATCTGGCTTTTACAGTGAAGATATTGGACAACACCTGTTTCTAGTGTAAGATAAACTGCAAAACTTCCAATGTTGTTAGAACAATAAATCTGGACTTTTCAGCGGTACACACTCATGACCCCACTGCCAGGGATCCAACTTAAAACCTTAGGGTTACAAGATGAGCTCGTTGACCATTCAGTCACTGGGACGGAGTCCAGTCCAACCAGTTTACGATAATTTGAATTGCTTTTAATGAATGGTGACAAAATGCGTAGTTAATTATTCTTACCAAATTTAAAATACTGTAGTTTCATGATATACGCTGCCTGATGTTCATCTTACTGTCATAGTAATATTCATTCCTTTTTCACTTCAAGCTGAATGCACTGTAATGGGTATTCCCTCTGTAACCACTAATCTTTCTGGATTCGGTTGTTTCATTGAAGAGCATGTAGAAGATCCTAAATCTTATGGTATATACATTGTTGATCGTCGTTATCAAAGTTGTGAAGAAAGTATTCAACAGTTAACCAAGGTATTTTATTATTATTCCTTTTTTACGATGATATCAAACTGCCTTTGAAATAGGCTAAATAGCTTCTATTTGTTCTTCTTTTTCTTGTGCTTCATCGATATTCACTTCTATCAACTTCAGCTATGATGGTCATGTACCCTAACCGATATGAACAGTTTAGAGTCAGTTATTTAGCACATGATACACGTGTGGCTTCTTAAATCATTGTTTGCACTGATGAATAATAAAAGAAAACTTTCATAAGCTTCAAAAACATAATAAGAAGCTGGCTTTTTCCCACCTTTAAAAGTGATTAGTAACGGTAAAGGATAAAGCAGACAAAGCTTGGGATCCTGATGTTGATTTATGTCGAATTCCCATTTAAACACTATAGGAAGTATTCCAGGAACATGCTTTGCTATTCCAGTGTTTGTTGTGATCCATGATCACAAGTTTAGGTGGAATATAAAGACAGTTCTGGGTCCAGTGGTTCAGCGGTAGAACGGTCGTCAACCACGGTTTTGGTTCGAGGTTGGATCCTCGGTCAAGGCACTCCTGTACCTCACTAAGTCGGTAGTAGGGCGGGCAAAGAGGGATGGTAGGGTGTGAAGCTAGCAACTTCAACCCGTAAAAATAAAACACCTTTGGTACTGACACTTCAAAGCTCCAGCTTGAAGGCCTATATTTCACTCGGGACGTAAAGGAATAAAAAAATAAGGGCAGTTCTAGAGTCCACTGTATTCTATCAGATAAAGAAAGATTAATTACCAAATCTCAGTTTTTTTAATCACCTTCAACATAAATCCTAATTATACAGAATACCCTTTTTGCAGTTAAAATTAAAAAAACTCTTCGGTTATAAAACATGTGTCCTACGTTGTATTACTAATTTGATATGCTTATGAATAGTAAATGTCGCCAGCATCAGTTGCTATATTTCTCTGCCCAATGTCACATAAAGGTGATGCACAATAATATGTATTAATTTGTTTTTTAGTTTTTGGAAGGCGGATTTCTATAATTTTGTTTTAATAGACTAATGGCTGAACTGAATGACAAAAGTTGTGTCAGTTCACCATAGGTGTCTTCATTTAATCGTTTGCGTTAGTTGGAGTACACTGATAGGTTACAGTAAAGTTAAATGCAGGCTGTTAAATCAGTGGTTAAATCAGTTGTGAAGCTTTTTCGATTGAAGTGATTGGAACATGTGTTATGCATGCTGAACCACCTCTTTCCACAAAAAATATTGTTAGTTGAAGTTGAAAACGAGTAAGTAGTGGTTAGATGAAAATGTGACACCAATTCACGAAGTCTATGACTATTGGCTTGAGCTGCATTTAGAGGTATGATTTACCTGTCTAAAGTGTTCTAGAGATTGACAGTCACTGATTCCATAGCCTTGGTGATATGATTAATAATCAGTTATAATGACACAGAAGCATTTATATCTTGTTACTATCCATAGTCTGAAAATTTTAAATATTCTTCAACTCATTATTCTTCCGGTTCGTGTGTTATGATATCATCATGTTTCTGTTACTTTATTTTGTGTGCTTTCCAAAGTATGCTAGCTTGAGCTGCTACACTTCTATGCGAAGCTCATAGTTGATCCGTCAGCCGCACTTTTACTCTTCAGGATTTTGATGGTAAGGTGGTTTTAATCCAGATTCTTGAAGTATCAATTCTTCTTAGCATCCTGAATACACCATCCAGAGAATTTACTTGCCGTTATGTAACTGATTCAATTCAACCGTCCGTAAACTTCATAGAATGGTGTTATTTTTTGACCCGATCATCCCCAGTATTTTTTAACTTAGAATTACTTCAGCTACCATCGTGTATCAATGCACGATTATGGTTTGATATGTTTAGTATCTGTGACCGAGTGATGGAGTTTTTAAAGTAGGACTTTACGCAGAAGTGCAGCATTTCAAGTTGCCATAATCCACATAAAACACAAAAGTAGCGAAAAATAGAAGTTCAAAGAAACTATAATGAACCGAAATTTGTGGGCAAAAGCATGATTACATGGAGAAACATGAAGAATTAATGGGTCTGGGCAATTGCAAATAGTGAATGCATTTGTACCATTAAGAACGATTCTGACCCATATCACTAAGACTCTACAACCACTCAAGGTTCCCAGCTAGACAGTCTACACCTCTCAAATTAACGGTCTGAAACTTCATGGATTGATGATAGCTTTTCATATGACCATTCGTAACTCTTTCCAAGCCTTAGCCTATGACAGATAGCATTACTCGACAAAGAAGAAACGACCTTGCATGTGTACCACGTGTTCTAACCATTTCAGTCGATATAGATTCACAACTTCATCGATTCACTTGCCCTCCTTATCAAAACTTTATGTCCAGCTGCAGTATTAGCCACCAAATTACACCTTTTAACACAAGAACTGGAACGCAAACATCTGTAGCCAAAGACACCTGGTCTATCTATAACTTTTCTTTCCACAGTCATGTCTCACATCCATAAAGAATGAAAAAGCAAACTGCTGCACGGTACACACTTCCTTTAATTTATACCCAGGGATGTCGTAAGTGGGAAAACCCCACACCAGTCTTTTGTATCATTTGTAAAGTCCACAATCTCACCTGTTCATCAACCGTCGTCTCTGATAATACATTCAATTTTGATATTATTCATTACTAGGTTCGAATGACACATATATTCGAAAGTTTATATTTTCATATATCCTGCCTTTCGCATCAACTAGCAGTGTGTATATAAAGTAAAATTCACACACTTATAGAAATAATACTAATAGTTTTTTGAATATAAAAATTATTTAGTTAGTAAAAATTGAACAGAAAAGTATCTCCAAGATATATTCCTAACGTAGTTTTTAATTTTTTTTCCTCTGAACTCAGTACTTAATGGAATTCTGCCAATACTCACGACGTCAGCGTGTAGTTTTGAGAAATCGTACTGAACGATTGAGTGAATTACTGGATTGGAAAAATCTGTCATCGGTAAGTCTTCTATCCATCTAAGGATTAAGAGATATGTGATATAATTTTGAATAACTTGATGTTCCTTTAACATATGTGTAGAACTTGGTAGTTTGTAATTCCATATTAATTTGTTTATTTATATATATATATATATATATATATATACTGAGAGGGAAACTCTGAAACCGTACATGGAATTCGCAACAAAGCAGGAGTAAAAGTGGCATTCAAACCCACAAACTCACTTATAAGCAAATTATGTTAGTTAAAGGGTTCCATTAAACAAAATAGTTTATTTTAAATTGGTTGATCTAATACCCTGCATTGATTGTGAGATGAAATACATAAATCAGAGTAGTAGGACAAGGTCAGTAAGATAACCGGAGTACAAAATCTAGCAAAATGTAGATAGGTTGTCCTTAATAAAATAAGAAATCTAGAAAATAGTTCAACAATAACACTACATTGCAGTCAAATACAAACACATAGCAAGATGGGAAAAAACGAGTCTTAAAGTCTGGTATAACAGGGTGGGGGGAAAAATTGATAACTGAAGTTTTGTTTATCGAAACAACTGGAAAAGGTACATTAGAAATGCCTCAACACCTGTTCCAGACATATGGAAAGTTATACCACCCATCACAACAAATGGGAAGGAAAAAAGAACTATAAAAGCCAAGTTTCGAAGTTGTGTAGTTACAATTGATATGCTTATGAACAATAAATTGTGTTCGAAACTTCACCCAGTGAATAATACTGTTTCACTGTGTGGTACACGGGAAATGTGTTCTGGGTAACTGAGTTGTAGCTGTAACCAGATTGATGTAATCCAAACTATATGATAATGGCTGATAGTGTTATAACTGTAAGTCTGTCTCTATTGACTTTTTAGTTTGGAATTCTTCATTAAAAGTGTAATCATTCAGTTATGATAAGTTCCAGGTTCTCTGCACATCTCACTAGATCTAATCTATTAACATAGTTTATACTATCTACACAATCGTTTATTGTATGGCCTTGAGTTTATACAGCAAATTTTCTTGTCTACACAGACAATAAGAGGCTAAGGAAACTGATACTATTTATGAAATTCAATTATAAGCTAAAAATACCAGTGATATACAAATGTATTGAATATTTTTCTGTTTAACTAATAATACATTTGAAAGAAAAATGTTGTTTTCTTTTGTTTTTCCAGTATTATAGACGTGCTCGGCTAATGGCTTTGAAAAGTTTTGCTCCTGAATTATTCACAGCTAACAACAATGATGATGCAATGTCTTCGCGTAGTTTCCATGTCAGTCGACCGTATTCAGCACCTGCATCTCCATCAATTTCTGGTCAGTCAACACCGTTACCAAGTGCTGGTGCCTACAGTTCTGGTCGTAGTAGTCCTATATCTCATTTAGATACTGATGAGGTTGATGATGATACAGAGCGCATTGAATTAGGTCTTAGAACAATTGAAATAGGAGGCGATAGTGTTACCGCGTAAGAAAAAAAGTAGAAGAACAAATAAAATAACATTTCTGTATGCCTATTTGATATGTACTTTAATAGTTCATTTTATTTCTTTTCTGTCAGTCTATTAACTTTACAGTAGTATTTGTGCCAATTCATACAAATAATTCCCTATCTACTTCCACTGAACTCATCATAATTTTCTTTTCTTGATTATTATCATGAAGGATTTGATTTCAAGCGAAGTTGTATGATAAACGCCATCATTTATACACTTTTGATCTCGATTAATATATGTACCTTTTTTTCTTCTGGCATATGATCAGGTCCCCTAAATACACACACACACACACACATAACCCTTATTCAAAGAATAAAAGTGTATTAAATCATGATTTTATTATGAATACCTTTCATTCATTGTTGTCCTAATCGCAATCACTTGCGTATCGTGTATTGCCAAACCTAGTCGTGATTTTTTTTTGACTTTCGACTTTGATTTTAAATATCCATGTATTTTGATTTGCTTTTTCTTGTTCTCATCTCATGGTTTTGCACTAATTCTTTGCTATTCATTGTTTGTCTCTCTCACCAAATGTGATTCTACCGATTTACTGACTCACGAACACACACACACACATACATTGTATGATTTCTTCTTTATTTTACTAAGATCCCAGTGCAACAATCACCGTTGACTTTGTATTTCTCATTGATAATAGTGCAATCTCAGTCTACAATGCCTGTTACTTTTTTCTTTTATTATTATGTATTCTATTTTAATATTCTTATCTTCTGTTATTAGTAATATATTAGTTGTTTTTCTTTCTGGAGTATCATACAACACATAATCATTATTCCTAGCTTAGGTTATCAAACTAATACTGATTGATACTACTGATATTAAAACCTTTACAGAAAACACTTTTGTTTGTCGTGTTTCTGCAATGATGTGTGTGTGTGTGTGCGTCATGTGTAACGAGTTATCCTATTCTGTATTTCTCTATCATCTTCTACTAGGGAATCATTATTACACTTTGTTTTGTTTTGGCTTATATGAAAAAACAACTTGTCCATCTTGTGTTTTTTGTTTTGTTTTGTACAAGAAATTTTACCGCTACACCCCTACGCCATTGCATGACGTTTCCTCTTTAGATATTCGTTGTTTTTTCCACACAAAATCTCTTGCTATTTTGTTGAGTTGTACTTATCTGTCATGTAGTCTACATTTAGAAACAATAATATTTTTTAAGAAAAAAGTAGGTAAATAATATTCCATGATTGATTGGGAGCTTGGGATAATTCATGTTGCCCGTCAAAACAACTTGGGTTTAGAGCTTTCTATTGTGAGTGAGTTTTCGTTTGTAATATTTAACATTAAAGTACATTTTAGCATAGGTGTACTCTTGTTACACATTACAAAATTGACAACTGGAATTCAGTAGTTACTCTAAGGTATTAAAATTCACACCAGTTACCGCTGTAGTGTACATCTTCTAAGTAAAACTCTTATGAAGTGCAGTCTTCTGAATACCTTGAACAGAAATCAAAGCATGTTGGGCATACAACTCACCCCTGTTAAATGTAAGGCGATACTGCAGGACTGGTTTGAAACTACTGCTACCCTATTAAAGATAAGGAGTAAAGTGGCTGAAAGTGTCGATCACTTTATTTATTTGGGAAGTTGCATCAACCTTTAATGGACTGACTGCTGATGAAATCTCAGAACTGATAAAAAAGTCTCATCTGGCATTTATTAATTGGTATCTGTTGTGTGACGTGGTGTGATATGGGGAGTAATATTGAGGTTTAGCATACATTGTTAATGATAGAGAGGGCAATTGAATCGATTGAGGTGGCTTAGGCGAGTGTTACACTTGACAAGCCATCACCTTTGTTGATTAATGTTAACTAACATAGGATTGGGTTGATAAAGAGTTAAGCTTAATCAAATCGAAACTTTACATGAATCCATGAAGTGTTTGACAGCTGGTTTGAGCCGTTCGCGTAAGGAGATGTAGAATTTCTGGGTAGAATCCTCGATACGCTAAGAGTTAATGGTTGGAGACTGTTGTTGATATGGCTTAAAATCGTTCTCAGTGGCTCGGATGTACCTACTGTTTGTAATCTTATGGATCCATTAAGTTTGCATGTCTCCATTTTCTCTCCCGCAAATTTCTGCTCATGATAGATCCTCTGAGTTCTTCTCTGCCTATATGCTGTATACAGCAGAAACTTGAAGTGTTGAACTTCTGTGCGAATTCCTACTTCGAGACTCAGTTAGTATACAACTGAGGTAATAAGAACATGATTATTCTAAAGCAACCTATAGTGCAGCAGGGAAATACAGATGATGTTTAAAAATAATTCTATCAAGCGCAATAATAATCGCAATACATAGGGATAACTAAGGGTATGATATGTTCACATTACTACGCCAGTTGTACTGCATAGTACTGTTGGATGTTGTCATTCAACTTCTAAACTTATTACATCCGTTCCAAATCCCAATAGTTACTACAGCCAAGATACCGTAACATTGTAGAAGCATCTATCTTGTGTCTACTCTACACTAAATTGAATTTATCTGTGTTCATGATTTCAGTTGATTAAGTAACACACAATATACGATTTCAACCAATTCGCACTATATTATTATCCATTCGGGTACTGCGTATTAATAAGACGGATTACTAAGGCTTGACTAGGTAACGTTTAAACTTGTCCTTTGAGCTATTCTTAAAGATGTTAAACTATAACTTTTAGACTCCTAAAATCTACGTTTTTAGTAACATGATAATTTAAACCAAAAACCGGTTTAGAATCAGACGATAATAATGCCCTAATAAAGTCCTTCACTGTTAACATTATTTACGAGAGAATATGAGGCTTCTTTTTCTACTTTCTCTTGCGATGATAACTTATATTTTTTTATCAGGAAAGAACCTTTAAAACCAACTTGTCTAATAAACCATTTACAAAGAATAATGTTTTCTCTACTTTTAATCAGCCACATGTTAGCGCCGTTGACTTAGAATATGCAGACGATATAGTCCTACTAGGCAAGGACGCTGAAAAAATGCAGGGTCTTCTAAACACCTTGAGCTGCAATCTACGAATGTTTGGCATGTGATTCGCTCCCGCCAAATGCAAGATGATGTTACAGGACTGGACTACACCGAATCCTAGGTTAGAAATAGGGAGTGAAGTGGTAGAGCACGTTGACCGCTTCACTTATTTGGGAAATACCATCAGCCCCAACGGGTTGATCTCTGACGAAATCTCAGCATGGATACAGAGGGCTAGTTTCGCATATGCCAGTTTACGCCGTCTCTGGTGTAGACGTGATATCCGGCTGGCTATCAACCAAAAGGCAGGTGTACTGTTTATCGGTCCGCTCCGTTCTCCTTTACGGCTGTGACACCTGGCCATTGAGAGTGGAAGACATGAAAAGATTAGCTGTCTTTGTTCATAGGTGCCTGCGTTCTATTTCTCGTGTGAAGTGGCATAATAAGGTGAGCAATATTGGGGTTAGGCGTCGAGTTCTAGGTAAGGAGGGGAAATCAATCGACGAAGTTGTGAAGTTACAAAGACTGAGATGGTTAAGACATGTGTTACGTATGCCTAGTCATCGCCTTCCTCAACGAGCAATGTTAGCTGATATAGGGTCAGGCTAGAAAAAAAACTAGCGGTGGTCAAACCAAAACATGGCACCAGTCAATGAAATCTACGACAGTCAGTCTAAGCCACGTAGGAAGGTGTAGACTTCCTGGTTGGGGTTCTCGGGACTGTAAAAACCAATGGTTGGAAACAATTAGTGACATGGCTCAAAATCGTTCTCAATGGCTGGTGCAGATGCATCCACTCCTTGTGACTTATGATTTCCAATGAAACTGCTTTGTTCTTCGTTATTACTATTCCTTTGTCTCACGCCTCTGCTCACTGTCTCTATTGTGCTTTTCTTGTACATTCTTCTCTTGCTTTGTGTGCTATATGGAGTGTGGCGACTTGAACTATCGCACTTATGTGCAAAGTTCTATGTCGAAAACAGACAGAGACATGTTAGCGCCAGAGTACAGAGTTAAAGTAGATTTTGAGGAAATGATTTTACTGTTATCAATATTATAATTAATCCCTTGGGTTCCGAATGGAACATAGGGCTTCGACAACACAATTTCTCTTTCTTCTATTTTCCGCCATCCTCTTTTCAGCTGGCTCCACGATTGTCTATAATCTCTCATCTTCTCCAACTCGCACGATCTCCTCCATGTCATCCTAGCACGACCCACTCGTCGCTTCCCATTGAGATTCCATTCGAGCAATGGCCTGCATATTGTGTAATATCATTCGACACTCTCCACAATGTATACTCGATCTATCTCAATTTTCTTCTACATATTTGTTGAGCCATAGACTCTTGGTTGGTTTGTTCCCAGCTAGAGTTTCTCGATACTAGTTCTTTGTGGCCATTTGATCTTCATTATGGAGACAGCGAAGGCAGCTGTCTATAATAGTCTGTAACTTGTTGGAAATCCTTTTTGTGACGCACAGTAGATGTTCCTGACCAGTATAGAAGGACCGAATTGACATTTATGTTGAGAATCCTAATCTTGTTCTTTATGCCGAGTGACAACATAAAATTTCTAAACTGGTTGATGAATGCGTATCTCGCCGTTCCGATTCTGTTTGGCTTTGACATCTTCATCCTCTCTGACTTCCTGTAGTCACTTCCTAGATAAGTGAAGAAGGTAACCTCTGTTAAATGTCTCCCTTTGTTAGTGATTCGTACTGGAAGCTAAATTTTTATTGTGCTGTTTGTCTCAATTATTTATTTATTAGCGATAAAGACTTATAGCACAATTTCGTCAGCCTTACAAACATGATAAACAAATTTAACGTATCCATACACATGTGCACAAAACTTCCACTGGCCTATTCTCAGTAGGGGAAACAATAAACTAATTGAATGTAGTGACGTATGTTCAAAGGACATTGCTTTATTCTTTAAGTAAATAAATGTTTCTTATATGGATTTCATGCGTCGATGGCACAGCGGTTACAACGCTCGCCGACCATGCACATGGTCCGGGGTTCGGGCCCCGGCCGACGCACCGCTTTACCTCGCTAAGCCAGAAACAATGCTGGTAAAGAGGAAAGGTTGGGCATGAGGAGGCTAGCAACCCCATCCTGTAAAATAAACACTGCTACAGGAACTTCAAGTCACTAGCTTGAGGCCCTATGTTCCACTGGGAACGTTAAGGTTAGAAAAAAAATATGGATATCATACAGACCTGTTTTTGGATGTGAGTGTATATTCACTGTTGATCTACATAGGTCTTTAGAATCGAAAGTACTTATGTGGCTATATAAACAAAAATGCATCTGTCTACTTGACCCAAGTAGCTTACTGGTAATTTCTTGACTTCAAATCTAAATAATGTAGAGCTAGATGGTTATAGGCGATAGACAGTAAATCGTGAACCTAGGCTCCGTGCCTACTAGCACCCGTCAACGAGGTATATATTTCTCCTTTAAGATGTGAGCTGGTGTCATCCAGTGCTGAAGTCAAAGAAGTTTCAGCTGAGCTACTCAGGTTCACAAATGACATCTTGTAAGGCTGCAGCAGATATACTGATTCGTCACTAGTAAGGATAACTGGAAAACGGTGCATATATCTACAAATATATCAATTTACTTTCGAGATTACCTATCTACCTACATATTATTTCATACAAACATCAACGTATTTATCGTAGAAGGTTATCCATTATATGACACCACCGAAAAGCAATAGTTGAGTTAACATTATTTACATTGTATTATAAAAATCTCCATTGATTCTGAGTGCATATAACAACATGTCAGACTGTAAAATTATCCATTATGAGCATGACAGACCGGACAAAGACTAACAATTTGTATTTATATTTATGTGACTTTGAAATGAATGCCTGTGATGTAATCCTAAATAATAACTACTGCATACGCAGTTGAACTTGTTTAAACTGACTAAAAATTCATCCTGTAACGAGTGAATAGAATGACCTTTACAAATTGTGTATATGACCTTTAATAAAAATGTTCATCTAGGCATTAAATACAACTTTTTAATAATAATAATGCGGCCAAACTGATTAATTATTCTCCATCTCATTTCAGTGCTCCAGTGTATCATAAGATGAAAGTCACATGTTACTATTTAGTTATCGGGGGAATGATACGTAGTTATTTACAGTTAAAGGCTTTTTAAATGAAATTATTCAACTAACAGCTAATATGTAAGAGACTGAAGATTTTACATTCTCTGAGCGTATTAGCATATAATTTTTTTAAGTGCAAATATCATTATAATTTTATCTTCTAAGTTTGTGTTTTCATATCTTTTCTTATTTTTTGTCTTCAAAGTGAAACATTGGACTCAAAGCTTTGTAGTTTCAGTAGGGGTGGTGTCCTATTTTTACGGGGGAGGGGTGCTGCTAGTCTCACTCCTATCCTTCCATCTCTTTTCTGGGTTTTATCCTGACTAGTAAACTAGGCGAGATTTCGTACATTAAATTTATGCATCCACAAAAAAGATGATTAGTTCTTACTAACTTGTAAACAGATAAAAATAAAATGTTCTGATAGTATGATGAAAATCTAAAAAGCCTAGTTTAAATTCTTAAATGGAAACTTCTGAATATAGTACCAAGTAGTGTAACTTCAATTCATCCAAACAACCTGAATGTACTTGTTGTTGCAAGCACAGGTATGAAGCTTTCCACTAGGCATTGAGCCATATACCATGAAATGAAATAAACGTAATGGATCCAGTAATTAGACCCATGAATGTGTCTTCTTAACATTTTGTTTAATAATAGGGTTCTAAGTACGCAATTATGGGGGTTTTGAGGAGATCTGGGTTTGAAAACAACCCATAAGAGTAGGAATCATTAAATCAAAATTCATTTATCGTATACTGAACTGACCGTTATGTAACCGACACATACGTCGATTTGACTGATTTTAAGTTAGATCATTAACTGGCCTCAGTTAGAGACCCATTAAGAACCAAGAAACGGTGAACAGATGCTTAGTTCTAGCTTGCGAATCTTTTGTAGTACGCACCCATGACCCCACCACCAGGAATGGAATTCAACGACCTCAGGTTACGAGGCGAATCAGTTAATCAGTCAGCCAACTCGATGGAATTCTGTCATCCATGAATTCTTACTTCTGTCACTTAGCAGCATATATACATATGCAGGTTAACACTTTCCTTTCACTAAATTAAATCACTAGATAGATTAAAAGCAGTAACTGGCGGCAGATGAGAAAATAAAACTTATTTAACAGCGGAATCTGGTGTCCTATTCATTGTAGATTGCTTGTAATTAGGATTTTTATCTAAATTCAACCGCTGATTTGTCTGAATATTATACTGCTTTTGATAGATTAACCAATGAAAAATTGATCAAAACAACATGGGATGATAAACTATCTTTAATTCATTCAATAACCACAGGTTAAGAATGTCTTTTCCCAATATTCTACGTTATAGTATTTATCATGTCACATATTGATTAGAGATTTATTGTTTGAATGGTTCCTAAAAATGATCACTTTCGACTGTTTTGATATACTGATCGTCTAGACAGTCTGAAAAGTTTCCTCCTAATATCAGAAATGCCTGAAAGACTTTTTGATGAGATTTTTGTAGGTGGACAGGGTGAACAGGAACATGACTTGACATGACTTTTCCCTCTTCTGAGCACTTTGGATGAAACTGACAAGGCTATCGCAAAACAGTAATATAATAAGTAAATATTGAATGAAATTTTATGAACTGATATAAAGCTCCAGAAATAATTCTGATAGATAAAACCGACTCTTTATGATAAAAGTTGAACAGCATTAAACTTTGATCAAGTGGGGCCGTGACTTACTGGTCTAGGCGTTCGACTATCAGCCATTGGGCCACAGATTCGAGTCATTCCTTGCATTTATCAAGGTTTGGGTAACAATATAGTATCGTTAGCCCCTACAATATAGATGTGCCTCATTACTAATTGCAGGGCATTTTATGAAAGTGATCACTGGATGAGTAATACTCACTACTTTCGCTGTCTAGTCTGTAGTAGTACTTCGTTAGTCTTAAAAATATTTCTTCCTATTATGTGATTTAGACGTTTTGCATATTATACCTTAATAATGAAGTCTAACAGTTGGAAACACAAAAACTTAATACATATTTTAATCAGCCATTTAGTCTTCATTTCCAAGCGTGAGTTCGTTCAAATTAGACTGGTTTCAGGTTTAATCATTTACTGACATCAGTTAAGAAACCACTGAAAACCAAGGAATACTAAACAGCTGTTTCATCGTAGTTCGGGACTCTTCATCTTCAGTACACAGCCATGACCTTACTGCGAAGGATCGAACCCAGAACCTCCAGTTTAAGAGGCGAGATTGTTGATAATCCAGCCAATTGAACGGAATCCAGTTGCCGGTTCACGAATTACAACTACTGTCAACTTGTTTCTTTTTAGCACGACCGACTGCTAATGAAATCGAAGAGAATTTTTCCTCACACCCGACTTCTTAGTGGTGCACCAGGCAACTTCGTCCTGTAGTCAGTTACTAGTTAGCTTAAGATTAATTTTCAAGTGTTAATGTAGAATCTTAAATTATGCGCATGTGTAACTGGATTCGTAATTCTTGCTAAATCATAAAATTATTGTCTTAGAATCATTCAATGAATACTGAATACATTTAAGTAGAACCTAACAGTTTGTATTTCGACTTTTCTTCCCCTGTTTATTAGTAATATTGGAATTATTAATAACAACGGAATCAGGAAACTGTTGGGTAGTTTTATTTCAATTTTTCTTCACTGATTTTTACGATGGGAAGGTGGAAAAAAGGTTTATTAGGCAATAATAGCAGCAGCACAATAATGGTTGACATGAGTGTAGGAGTATAAAAGAAAAGAAAAATGTATGTAAGTGAAAAGGGACAAAGTAGAGTTAAATGAAAATTTCAATTGTAATAATTAGTAAAATGAAGTTTTACAGTGTTTTTGCACACCATTTAATATTAGTCAGCTGACTGCAGAGTAAAATAATTGTATGGGTGAAGATATATAATATTGCATGTGTATATATTTATAACAGTAAACATTGGGGGGGCTAGCCAGAACAGTAGTTAAGTGAGCAAGTAACTGAGTGAGCCAACCAACTTTTTATCTTAATAGTTAGTTATCAACAAACTTTTGAAGATGAGGAAAACAGTAGTGTAATCCAAATCAAGCATTCGGAATAATAATAACTTCAAAGCTGCTTTGTTTAGGTAGCGTAAATTGCGCATATAAAGGTGTATAAGTAGATTGATTATAAGAAACACAAATAATTAATATAATTAAGTAACATACATTCACTAAGAATCACATAATCATGATTTTCATGAATTATGTCTGAGACATTGATAGGATAAATTGATGAGAATAAATTCAAGCAAGTAGAAAAGGGGAGTAACTACATAATTACACCTAAAATAAAGAGGTATTTATAAGTCTTATTTGGTAAGTTGAAACAAAGAAGTAGAACATAATAATGAAGACAAAACATTTGAGGATTGAATAGAAGCGTAACTGAACAAACGTCAATGCACACTTTTTAAGAGAGAATTCTTTTTTAAACTATGCATTCATGTTTATCATTCTGATGTTTAATGAGCATATACGGATACGAAACTTCTTCACAAACGGGTCTATTCAGCAGATTTTAATTGACCGCGCCAACCTTCTTTCTACACATTCAAACACAACAGCAATTGAACGATTATAAAACGAACAATCAAGAAGGTAAAAAAATATGCACAAGAAGAGAAATGACCGAATGTGAAAAAAAGCAGAATAAATTCCAAGTAAATATTTTTTTATTTAAAAAATACCAGCTAAAGTGAAGTTTGTATGTGATTTTAATGCATAAAAGATAGGGCGAAATTCGATGACACAGGATAACAAAGTATCGATTGGTTTCCATGATTTTGGTAGACTTACTATTGCTTTATTTCTTATCTTCTTTTCTGGCTGTACTCACTCGCTAGCTTGCTCTCACCACTCTGCCGAACAGCACCATTCAATGTTCAAGAGTTAGCATACTTTTTTCTGAGATAAAAATAAGCATAATGTCTATTGAAAGGAAATAAATTGACTGGTTATTATTATTTTTCCATTGGTTATATTCAGTTATATTATAGGGGAAGTATAGCCATTTACTTGGGTGTACTCTGTGATTATGTGGATGTTAAGTGGAGTACATGTGTGAAATAGGGTTAGTACGGAGAAGAGAAATATCAGGATGCAAACAAAAAAGGAAAAAAAGAAGAGAAAAACAAAACTATTATATCATTAACAAAACAAAATACATTAAATGAACTATTTTTAAAAAAATTAAAACAATCTACCCTTTTAAAATTCAAACTACTATCATGCAAATAAATACTTGTGCAGTATGTCACATATGGGTCGATGGTTTAATAGTAGAATGCTGACTAGACTTGTGAAGAATTCGGGTTCGACTCCTGGACGACATGCTCCTAAATCTCACCTAGATAACTAGCCGACAGTTGGCCCAGAAAAAAGGGTAGGATAGGTGTGAGGCTGACAACTCCATCTCGTAGAAGTACAACACCATCGCTAGTGCAACTTTAAAATCTTGAAGTCATACTTTCCACTGTTTATTCCAGAAATAAAGAAGACAGTGTATCACATATTTTAATGCACATTTAAAATCATTCATGTGTCATCATTTTAACACAGTGAATCGCTTCATTCTGCCTAACATACATTACTGGTTCCTATGATTGGTTAGAAGCCTTGTTGCGTCAACATCCTGCTACTACAAACTAAGTTTAGTTTATATTATAAATAACATTCTGTTTCTGACAAACCACTCAGCATTGTAAATAAGCTTGGGTGGCTGTTTTTGGAAAAGCTCATGGGTAAGTAAAATATATGAGTAGAACTACTAGTGCAGATTATTTAGTTTTAAAGCTGCATTACCATTAGGAAAATATCTAACGGTAAGTTAGCAAGAAGAGCTTAACTTATTTTCTGTGCTTATGTTTAAGATGTCAATAGAAAGTTAGATGAATTTATACTGTAATGGAGATCGGAAATCTTACTAAGCGATGCTCAAATTAGATAAAAATAGAGAAACTATCGAAGTCAACGCCAGTAGTATTAGCTAATGAACATTAGATATTAGTTTTCAAAACTCTGATTAGTTAATAAGTAATCAGGGTAATGTGAACATTAAAGAGTTTAGTTTAATCTCTAGAAACTAACCACTAATTTCATTCTTGCATCATAGCAAGTTACAACGTATCTAACTGATATGCAAAAATCTACTAAAAACAGAACATCTTCGTCGGTAAATTGTATGCAAGTGTTCCTAATAACAGTTACGGCGATTCCATGATCCTTATTCTTCAATATTCTAGTTCTAGGATACAGGTTTTATCGACTTCTAACTAACCGAGATGCTTCATTTCTTTCAGAAGCAGTACTCCATAAGTAGAATTCACAAAACACATTACTAACACATCTAACAATCAATTATCATCCACATATTTCGAAATAGTTTATACCAAACTAAATGCAAAAATAATATATGACTACAAATCATGATAGTAAAATGTATTCCTAAAAAAAAGCTAGTCGAGATTTCTTGATCCAAAAGCACATGCTGTATTCCTACTCAAATTTCAATAATGGGGATGAAAACTACTGTAGTACAGAGAACACTATCAGAATTTAGTAAAGGAGTAGGTTTAAGAGAACATGAGAGAAAGTTGTATCCTTGTTCTACTTACAATCTAATCGTAAGTGATCATTACTCATAGTGTTTGTTTTGTTGCAATAATTTAGTCGTTTCCATTTTTAAAAAAATCCCATATACCTTTTTGTTAGTGCTACGTAAATTCAATAACGACAGAATCACTCTACTACTACGGAATGACAAACATTTCGAGAAAAAAATACTGATTTCCTTCCTGTAACATCTGTCGACGTGTGAAGTCGTAGAATCATATCAGATAGTACATAAGAAGACATTTTTGACCTAGTTTCCTAATGAAATCGAGCCAGCATAGTGCCCTTCACTCTGTCAGCATTAGAAATATTATAAAAATATTCTTAAAGTGTAATTCTTTTCTCTTTGTGAATGTTTAATTGGCTATAGTAAGGACTTTCACATGTATGAAGTAGAGGTTCGTCTAGTTTTCTCCTATTTTTTTAATAATAAACATATTTACAATGTGATTAACAAGTATAATACATATGTGTGGAAGACAGATGATCACCAACAAGAAATGTTGGATCAGCTCACATTGCCTGTTCAATGAAACTCATTAACAAGAAGTTTCTGTTAGCCTCCACCTTTCGAAAGTTCATTCTTCCAGTGTATAACTCAAATTTACCTCATCCAGAAAAACTGCTCTTCTTTCTCATTTTCTCTCCTCCTCATCATCACATTTTCATCAACGATCGGATATACTGATTTACGTATTGTTAACAAACTCTTAAAACATTGAAATGTTTTAAAATCTGTCATTGTATTTATGTATCGGGAAAAAGTTCGACACAGATTAAGCCAGTAAAGGATGTCAATGGAAAGTCAATCACCAAAGGGGTGGAACAAAGGAATACTGGGCTGAACACTTCAAAAGACTTCCAAATCGACCGCCACCTACAACACGCCCAACAATACCAATAACGGAAGCAGAACTACCAGTGAACATCGACCCTCCGACGAAATCAGAGGTCCTGAATGCAATCAAGATGCTAAAAGCCGGAAAAGCAGCAGGAACAGGTGGAATCCCAGCAAAAGCATTGAAAATGGACCCAGAGACAACAGCGGACTTGATGACACCACTACTGGAGAAGGTGTGGAAAGAGGGCGAAGTACCTGAGGATTGGAAGAAAGGATATTTATTCAAACTACCAAAGAAAGGAGACTTAAGTCAATGCAAAAGCTGCCGCGGAATTATCCTCTTGTCCATTCCAAGCAAAATACTAAGCCGCATCATCCTGGAGAGAATCAAACAAGCCAACCTGGTTGAAAAACTTCGACCGGAACAAGCTGGATTCGGGAGGAACAAATCATGTATTGATCAAATCGCCACTCTACGAATCATCACTGAACAAAGCTTGGAATGGCCGTCAGTCACCTCTCTATCTCAACTTCATCGACTTTGAAAAAACCGTAGACAGCGTCGATCGAGAGGTCATTTGGCAACTACTTCGCTACTACGGGGTCCCATCGACAATTATACATCTCATCCAACAGCTATACGACAATGCTGCATGCTAAGTAATCCACAACGGGAAACTTACGGAAGCCTTCGAAGTGAGGACGGGAGTGAGACAAGGCTGCCTACTATCACCAATGATTTTCCTGATTGCAGTAGATTGGATAATGCGACAGATAACGGCCAATGAGGAGACAGACATTAAATGCACTCACACAAAAACAACTTGGAAGATGTGGACTTCGTCGATGATATATGTCTGATTTCCCACAAACTGGAAGATATGCAAGTGAAAAGCAACAAGTTGGCAGAAGATGCATCCAGAGAAGATAGGACTACAGGTGAACATAGATAAAACAGAGGTGATGAAGATTCCTGGCCAACACCACCAACAGCAACAACAACAGCAGACAACAATCAGCATAAATGGGAGGAACCTGAAAGACACAACCTCCTTTACCTATCTGGGAAGTATCGTTTCAACTACAGGCGACGGAACTGACGACGATATCAAAGCCAGAATCGGAAAAGCAAGGCAGGCTTTCATTACTCTTAAGTCTGTGTGGAAGTCAACAGCACTCAGCATCAAAAATAAGATCCGGATTTTCAACTCCAACTTGAAGTCAGTGCTACTATACGGATCAGAGACTTGGCGCGTCATAAAGAGCATCTCAAACAAACTTCAGACCTTCATCAACAGTTGCCTTCGCTCAATACCCAAGATCAGATGGCCAGAAAAGATCAGCAACAGGGATCTCTGGCAATGAGCGAACCAACCAGGAACCGATTGTGAAACAAACAGGCAGGAAGAAATGGAGATGGATTGGCCATACTCTGAGGAAACCAGCAAGTGACATCACTAGACAAGCCCTCGAGTGGAACCCGAAAGGGAGGCGGCGAGTTGGTCGTCAAAGGGTGACTTGGAGGAGGTCATGCGAGGAGGACATGAAAGCATGTAAACAGACCTGGGGCGGGGTGAAAAAGTTGTCAGAAAACAGAAGGCAATGGAGGTGCGCAGCTGAAGCCCTATGTTCCTCTAGGAATTAAAGGATAAAATACTAATAATAATTGTATTTATGTTACATGACCAATGGTGAAGCACGGTGAAATCTAAAACATGCGTCTCATCTTGCCTGAAACTCGTCATCTGTATATACCTGTATCTCCAATGAGTGATATTCTCACTGAGACTGAAATACACTACTCATCGTTTCAGACGCTAAAGTGCCATTTACTAGGTCACAAAGGCCAACTATTGTACAACGGTTATCAGTTGTTATTTGTTTAAATTATTTTACATTCTCCGTTGATTAATTTCTACTATTGCATAGTTTCGAAGTATCGTTTAATAAACTAATGATATCATTATTACTACATACAGTTGTGCTCATTTCAGTTTCATTATTTAGCACAAATAATATTGTTCATATGAATAGTATAATGAAGTTCAAGACATTCATATCATATAGCTGAAATTTCCACTCATTTAAAAAGTTATTCCAGGGTAACCAAGTTATTATGTCTTATGATCAAATATATATATGTCAAATGGCTGAATTATCTTTGCCTTAAAAACATTATATCAAAACTGGATTACATAATCTGCCTTCTTTTCTGTTTAATATTCTATTAAACTTGTTGCTGGTATAACATGACGACAAAATGCATTACTATTTAAATATAAACAACTGAGGGAATTAGATGATTCAAAAAATAAGATGAATAGTATTCAGCAAATTTTCATTTTGTTAACTGTTAACGACTCAACTGACTTTTTGATTGACTGATGGATAACATAGATGTCGTGATTACGCAAGAAGTAGGGTCTTTCAAAGGGTTTCTTGTTAAGACTTTTAATGACAGACACCAAGTACTTGTCTAATAGTCGTCATTTTCTGCTGATTTTAAGTAACTGAACAGTCTCACCGATTAACTTTGAAGTTTCATGAAGGGAAACCTAGATATTGCATCAGACTACATCTTAGTGATTTTGCGTTCAGTGATTCTCAAAAGGAAATCTAAGACACTTTTACTTAATGTTTCAACGTGTAGATTTTCAAATTAGATGAAGGACACTGCTAGCCATTATCAACACGAAATATTTTAGTGGATTTCTTCCCATAAAATCGTTTGATCCAAAAGTATTCATTCCAGCGATTTGATTCATTATTGGTGTCTAGATTTCAAATGTTATATTTTCCATTTGAACCTCCAATATTAAATGAAAATCGAGTTGGTTATATTATTCATAGAATCGGATTCGTCACTTGCGAACAATACAGTTCCCGATTGGAATTCACTACAATTTCCCGTCGAAACTAAAATTATTCAGCCAGCAATATGTGAACTGATTGACACCATTGATGACAATAAATAAAATAGTTTGCTGGTATGCACTACTGATTAATATAAGTATTTGGAAACTACCCACGTGAGATGGTAGTATTTACTAGTGGGATCTCCTGCCGTGATGTGAATATTTTTGGTTAACAAAGAAAACTGTAGTGAATTTTCCCCTTGTAAATGATAGATTTCGCTCTGTTTATTAGTGGTTCGCTCAAATTGCTGGTCAGAATTCAGATACTTTTTACTGATATAGAACTCTGAAATGAGTAAATTCAGATAAACGATGAGTGAGGGAAACAGTCATTTGATTTTAAGATCACCCTTGTCTGGCTGACGAGCACTACTGGTTGATGTGAGTAGTTTCCAACCACCGATACCAGTCATTAGTAAATACCGTTATTATATTACGCATAGCTAAGTTGTCCTCTTTATTATCTGTACTGTGTTACTAAAGACATACAATGTAAACGATGAGAATCATAAGACCAGGCAAATATAGAATAGTTCTTTTCGACACAGTATGTTTTATTTCTTCGTCTGGAGTCTGTATTAAGCGTCCTTATATTTTAAAATATATCGTCACGTGTTAGATATCAGGCTGAAGTAACTTCACCTAAAAAGAGTGTTGAACAAAATAATGATACGATATCTGATGGATTTCGGAGGCATGTGCGTCAACCTAAAAAGCAAGATTACCTATTTTATTCGATCAGCAACTATTGAAAACTGAGTTAAACAGAGAAAATTATGATTTCATTATGGTCATATGTAATAAATAGCACCTTTCAAACACTGTTTAAAATAAAAGCTTTCACATGACTTACCACAGGTTCATCCTTCTCCTCTAGAGCATACTTACTATGACCGGTAGACTTGAGTTGACTACGGAAGGAAGAGAGAGAATGTCCGCCTTCCTTCTTCTCAAATCGTGCCATATGACTTTCAGTTTTAGACACTTTCTTTAAGACTGGTTTTACACTGTAGAAATTGAATAAAATATTCAAGAATTCATTCAAATGAATTATTATTATTATTTCAATAAAAAATCGAGAAAGATTAATTAAGTGCTCCAAGTGACTATCTTTGGAAGACTGAAATAGCTGTTTAACAGATTTAAGTTCTGTAGTGAGCGTTAAGCTTATTCGAGAAAATATCTATAATTGTCCTTGGCACATTGTGATATATTTTGGTTTCGAATGTAAAGTGTTGCAGACATATAAAGTGAAATACCCATTGTAGTGTAGTACAACTGAGTATACTTGAAGCAATACTAATATCCCCACATGTATTTATCCATAGAGATGCAAATCTGACTAGTACTGATTGATTTTTGTTACATTCGTTCTAAAAAATAAGCCATGAAGTTAGGTGGTAATGTTTCTGTCAGTTTAATTGTAAGTGCCAGTTGACTACTATGAGTGCAGCTGTGTCTGTATAAAGTGGGAACACAAATTTTGTGAAGACCAGTAATAGTTGGTTGATAGATGAACCTTGTAAGACAAATAGGAGTTACAACAAACAGCTACTGAGTGAAATTCCTGTATTTTTCTGCTGTTAACTCTGGTTCTTGTACAACATCCATAATTATCATCCAAGATAAAAACGAATGTCGTCAATAAACAGAATGAATCATAGCTCACCATCCACGCATATGGTCTGGATTCGACTGCTGGGCCTCAAACTCCTAAACCTCATCTAGTAGGTATAAAGTCTGGTACAGAGGAGAGATCTGGCATAAGACCAGCACTCCCAGACCGTAAAACGTAACGCCACCGCTATTGAAACTTCTAAGCTTTAGCCTACGTCGCCCTTGGAACTTAAAGGAATGGAAGGGAAGAACTTCATTCTAAGCTAGTTTTACCCAGGTAACGTTTCAAGATCAACCGAAACTATCACTATGAGTGTAAATAAGTTGAATTTCAGAAGACAGAAGAAAATTTCACTATTTTTGAACTACGCACATGTCCTACCAAAAGATGGAGGGAAAACAAATGATTGTTGGAAACCATGTTTTGCGTTTCATACAAGTTTGACACGAATCAGAGTTTTCTCTTTAAGTCTCAGAAATGAACAAAAATCGAAGCAGATGATATCTTTTCTTTACATATGCGAAATTTCAACTAATCGATACTTGAGTAGTTAATGTTTTTTTTTACAAATAAAGGACAACTGAACTGGAAAAACATTTTTTCTTATCAGTGAAATCATTTTCAAATGTTGTCGATAAGATGAAATTTTTCTTCTCTCTATTGCCTTTTATTCTTGTTCTGTTTAATGACTCAAAGTACATTTTCAGTTTTTTATGCAAACATCTGATTCTATATATAGAATAATAAACACTTACAATTTGCCTTTGACGTCATTCACTTTGATTGTAAGCTCATTGATCTATTGATAAAATAATAATAATGGGATAAAATGAATAAAAATGTAATTGTTTATTGCTCAACCAATTCTATTTTGGTCGAAATTGAATGAATACTTTTAGAAAAAAGTGGAGGTAAATATGAAAGATTTTAAAAAAGCATGTTTTTTGATGTTAAATTTCTTTTTTCTTAAAAGTTACCTATTGAACACCGCCAACATAGATGGAGATACTTAACAGGCATAGGCACACATATCGGCTAATATGATGAATAAAGTATAATTACATTAAATTACAGGAAGACTTTTGTAGAATACATATGTCAAGTTGTTGTGTAAAGCATAGCAATAAGCATTTAATGATCCCTCGAATTCTCATTATCCAACATAATTACTATTTCGTTCGTTAATTTCGTCTTTATATTATAGTTTCTCGGAATCTCTTTCAATGTATACTTTTTAGGAAGTATGTCTCAGTTGAACTGTTACAATTTTGTGCTAAGCTCAACATGGAAGAGATGATACACAGCCGAATTATCCCACTGGTAAAGTTAGCATCATCTTTTTACTGCCCACACTTCCTATTATAATATCTGTAAACCCGAACAAGTTTAGCGGGATCATACCGAAAGTTCATTGAAATAAAATGATTAGTGCTTTTTTGTGTGAATCAAATCGACCTTATTTATTTCACCAAGCTGAATCTCTTGAGATAAAGCGGACAAAGTATCCTTCAAATAAACTTATTTTATTAGTCTGATTTTGTAGATCCTCAGTATAGTCATGGGTGCTAACTACTGAATAATCTCAAACTAGGACTGGCATCGGTTCATGAGGAAATCTACCTTATAACATTACTAGTCCTGGAATTACAGTACAATAAATCATTTAGATGAAGTCTATTAATTTCTACAAATTTTCCAGTCTAATGATGACATCAAACTTGTCAGTGATCCATGTTTTAGCAGACATCTCTGACTTTTAAACATCACCTATTGTAAGGTGAATCACATACATTAAATCAATAGCTGTTCATTAGACTATGGTTTAGTTATGTTATGACATGGGATTTCATTTCGGTTGGTGATTTCATGGGATGACTTCAGTGTACTCTCCTGTCTTTAGATTCACTTCTAACCACAATGCATATTTCTCAAATGCTTGTTTTTATCCATACTTTCCTAATAGGTGGTCAGTAAACTGTCTTGTCATTTCCGGTCTAGTATATTTAAAAACTGGATTACGTAATCTGGCTTTGTAGAGATTGTAATAGTGATTGCAGATTTTTTGAGTTTAACTGAAAACCATGTCATGAGATGGTAAACATAGAGTTGTGATCACTTCTCAGAGATCATTTGTTCAACTTTTGTTTAGTGATAATGTTCAGTTATCATCTACTCACAATGATTTGATAACAGTAATGTATTCTTTTGATCAGTATATCAACTGTTTCACCTTGTATGAGTTAATGAATAATCCCTTTTTCAATGAACGAACAGATTACTGTTCCTACTGACTACGATTTCTCTCTCTTTCTATTTGAAAGATTAATTCACAATACCTTCAATGATAATTACCACAGATTTCAGTCAGGCTTATAGTATTTGGAAAACACTAAAGACTGAAAATTATAAATTCTCGTTAGGTTGATAAATTTATTTGTTTGACTAAAAAGCGATAACATTCATTCGCAAAATCATGAAAATATAATCATATTTTGAATCATCAACCTATTTACCATATCAAGTAAGACCTTTATTAAAATTAGGCTGATGGCCACACCAATTTTTAGATTTGATGGAGAAAACATTCAATCTATACACATTGAAGTTGACTTTTCACCAATCAGCATGCATCATGTACAAAGCTAAATCACTATATACTATACACGCTAGTGAATATATAATGGACTACGTTAATACATGAGAGTAAACATGAAATGTGGTTAAAAAATTTTTAAACTTGAAATTAAGATAATTTTGTTTTCAACTGTCCAATAGTAGATACTTTTCGTTTTAATTAGCAGAATTATTGATTACAGATGGATTATCACCAATTTGCGTCTGGTATCTGCTGTAGGATGCGACTAAATGACATGAATAATAAGAATCTGTAGTGTACCCGCCTGACTACTGACAAAGCAGATACAAGGGTACATTGATTCTACGAGGACTGGTTAAGCATTACGTAAAAGCAACATGCCTAATCTCTTACAAGTCTATCTTATTTGTAAAGCGCATTTAATAAGTTGATTACATTTGAGTGTATATTACTGCACTGGTGAAAATTTAAGAATACTGCTGTTTTAGTAATTTTGAAATAAAGTTAAGTGATAGTGGGACTATCTTTTATAGTTTCGACTTGACAGACTGCTACTTTTCTTGTGGATGGTAACTGAAAGTGAAAGGAAGTTGAGGATTCAAATCAGAGACCTCGGAACTACTGGTCTCTCATTCTACTGACTCAGCTACGTCATCAAGGTACTAACCAAGTCATCAAGTCACTGTGATCACCACAGATAATGCCAAGCCGTCACGTGAATGAATGAGAAGTTACTGTCCGGTTATCATAGCACTAACTGTCTGTCTAGGTCTTCTCACCATCAAATAGCAAGCTATTTCTCTCCATTTAATCCAGTATGGTGAAGACTAACAGGAGAAGACCTAGCTGGACAGTAACGTATCATTTATTCACTTGATCTACGGTGATCGCAGTGAAATGATCAGCAGTATTGTGTTGTAACTCGGCTGTAAGTGTGCCAGACTAATAATTTAGGCTCTTGATTCTTATTTTGCAGAGGTCTAGAATTTCATTTCACCGCCAATCATCACCCATTACGTGAAGATTAATTTTCATATTCCCATGATCAGATTGTTCAGTGGTTTGTAGATCGATGGTTGGCTTCAACACTGGAGTATTAAAGATATAAAATAATCTATTCTCCAGTTTATGACTTCAATTAAATTAACTATTTATGCATCAGTCAGTTTACGGAGGACCATCTCATATATTGTAAGCAATAAATGGCAAATGTTTAATTTTCTGATGTAGAAAATTTTGTCTGAAAGTCACAAATACGTGTTTGTAATCTGTAAATTAATTCATAACACTCTTAAAAATGCAATTCCATTATGGGTAAATTTTGTTTTGATGAAGTCTCACAGTGTTATACAGTAATGTTTACTGATGACGTTTCGAGCACAATTTATTGCTCATAATCATATCAAGGTAATCACGCGACTTCCTAAATTCATTTATATAGTTCCATTGTTTTTCTCTTGATTTTCACTTGATTTGATTGGTAATAGTATTTTCCATATTTCAGGTATGAGTGACGAGTCATTCCTATTGCATGTGTTGGGTGTAGACTCGATGAACAAGGATTCAGTAATCAACCTCTCTCCACCTACCTAGATTACTTTTTAGAATTTTAACCCTCTCCCACCCTATTGTGTGGTTGTGTGTTAGCGCATGCATTGCAATTGCTGAGCTTTTTTCTAAATTATTTATCTTCTCGGGGTCAACCATTCTTACCTTAGCTAAATTTTTATGCTCTGACAATCTGACTACCCCTGACCTACTAGTTTGACCTATGTAGTTGACCTCACAGTCATTGCATGGTATTTTGTAAATAATATTATTTTGTCTAATTGGGTCAACTGGGTCCTTTAACCTACAGAGCTTGTCCCTGAGTGAGTTTGTAGGTTTAAATGCCACCCTAATTCCTATTTTATTCAGAATCCTACGTAGTGTCTCAGATGTCCCCTCTTTATATGGTATAACTGTGAATGACTTATATTCTCTCTTATTTATGTTATCATTATTAGTTCCACAATTATTTTTATTTTGTTTTTGGCCTTTACTGATCTTCCTAATGAATTTTACGGGATAATTGTTCAACACCAAGGCTTCTTCTATCTGTTTTAATTCATCATTTAGATCTTTTTTTGTGCTACTTAGTGCCACTGCTCGGTTTGTTAAACATTTAACTAAGCCTGCCTTAACAGTTAAAGGATGAGACGAATTAAAGTCTAAATATCTATTAGAATGCGTTGGTTTTCTATAAACACTAGTGTGTAGTTTGCCTTCTTCTATTCTTTTTATCTTACAATCTAACATATATAATTCTCCTTGTTCATTTTCTGATTCAAATGTGAATTTTATTCCCTCCACTTGTGAGTTTATATGTGTCAAGAAGCGTATGAATTATCAAAACACTTAGCTCTAATACTATGCCCCATTAGAAATCGTTCAAACTCTAGATTAACTAATTCATATGAGATGAAAAATAAACTAAATGACATTCAACTAGCGAATGATGAAACAATGGTTAGTTTTGATATAACTAGTCTTTATACTAATATACCAGTTAATATGGCCTTAGAAGCAGTTAAAAAAGAATTAACTGCGGATCCGGAACTCAGTCATAGGACAAAGCTGTCCATTGAAGAAATTATTTTAGGGATTCAGTTATGCCTCACATCTACTATCTTTAAGTTCCAAGGCAAAATATATAGACAAACAGAAGGTGTAGCAATGGGATCACCAATATCCCCTATCGTAGCAGACATATTTATGGACAGCTGGGAAAATAGTGCCCTCAATACATTTAACCCTACTCCGAAAATATGGTGGAGATATGTGGATGACACTTTCACAGTGTTAAAAACAGAACACATCTCTAGCTTCTTGACACATATAAACTCACAAGTTGAGGGAATAAAATTCACATTTGAATCAGAAAATGAACAAGGAGAATTAGCTATGTTAGATTGTAAGATAAAAAGAATAGAAGAAGGCAAACTACACACTAGTGTTTATAGAAAACCAACGCATTCTAATAGATATTTAGACTTTAATTCGTCTCATCCTTTAACTGTTAAGGCAGGCTTAGTTAAATGTTTAACAAACCGAGCAGTGGCACTAAGTAGCACAAAAAAAGATCTAAATGATGAATTAAAACAGATAGAAGAAGCGTTGGTGTTGAATAACTATCCTATAAAATTCATTAGGAAGATCATAAAGGCCAAAAACAAAATAAAAATAATTGTGAAACTAGTAATAATAACATAAATAAGAAAGAATATAAGTCATCCACAGTTATACCATATAAAGAGGGGACATCTGAGACACTACGTAGGATTCTGAATAAAATAGGAATTAGGGTGGCATTTAAACCTACAAACTCACTCAGGGACAAGCTCTGTAGGTTAAAGGACCCAGTTGACCCAATTAGACAAAATAATATTATTTACAAAATACCATGCAATGACTGTGAGGTCAACTACATAGGTCAAACTAGTAGGTCAGGGGTAGTCAGATTGTCAGAGCATAAAAATTTAGCTAAGGTAAGAATGGTTGACCCCGAGAAGATAAATAATTTAGAAAAAAGCTCAGCAATTGCAATGCATGCGCTAACACACAACCACACAATAGGGTGGGAGAGGGTTAAAATTCTAAAAAGTAATCTAGGTAGGTGGAGAGAGAGGTTGATTACTGAATCCTTGTTCATCGAGTCTACACCCAACACATGCAATAGGAATGACTCGTCACTCATACCTGAAATATGGAAAATACTATTACCAATCAAATCAAGTGAAAATCAAGAGAAAAACAATGGAACTATATAAATGAATTTAGGAAGTCGTGTGATTACCTTGATATGATTATGAGCAATAAATTGTGCTCGAAACGTCATCAGTAAACATTACTGTATAACACTGTGAGACTTTATCAAAACAAAATTTACCCATAATGGAATTACACTCTACCACAGTGCACAAGTTTCATTCTTATATCAACTCTTAAAAATGTATCACAAGTAAAAAAAATGTTGTATAAAGAATCACCTCAAAATCTTGTCGTCTTAATTTTCTTCCCAGTCATATTTATCTCCTTCTAGTTGTCTGATACGTTCATACAATTGCTTCACTTTAGCGGTCAAATCACCTAAAGAAAAGAAATTTAAATGAAATAGGTGAACAGCAACATTATTTACACAAAATTTAGGATTATAATCACAACAGGAAGTATTAATCTCATGCAATTTCTATCAGATCACATTTTAGCCATAATTAAAAGTATTTGTTGGAGTTATTTTGAATTTTCCGCCGACTAATTATATTTAGACAGAAATATTCAGTCACTGTTAACATTGTCGATGTTCAGTGTGAATGCTTTGACAATACCTTAAAATTAACATTATTTCAACTTGTTAGTGGTAGCCAGCAATGGGAAATACTTTGGAGTTAGAAACAGTGGATACTTGATTCAGGTCTGAGAAGGGACACCATCACTGACAAGAGATGCAGGAGCTTCTAGCTGATGATTCTGGCATAAGACGAAACGCGCATATTGGACCCCAATGCTGGTCACCAGATATAATTAATAATTTAGAATAAACGTAGAAACTTATTTTTGAATGTGAAAAAGTTGGGCAATACAGAATACTTATTTTCACTATCCTTTAACCTTTTAGTTTGACATTATTATAGATGTCAGACGAGAATAGATCAAGGGTTGGAAGATTTTCTCGCAACGATTGGTTTATCGTGTATTGCAGCTAGCATACAGTGTAACTGGTCAGCACTTGTCTTTGTTTCCTATGTTAATTATACTTTGCATACCGCAGTTTGTACATGAAATAAAGAGAGTTCAGTCACCAGTGAGAACCTAAAAGTTCCAGTGATTAGTACGTATTCATAGTCCAGTCGTTAAAAGGGCACATCACCTTAAACACCTTCTATTCATTGTTACAGACTGAACTCTTAGAAGAGAAAGTAGTCTCTCCAACATTACAGAAAGTGGGGAAGAAAAGTTTTCTAAATGATCGAAAACAGGTAAATGATTTTTCTGTTAGTTAGGTACAAATACTGTGGGAAGATGGTTAAATTAAAAGTTACTGTTTTGAAGAATCGGACATTCTTTGTCTGATTTTAATCAACTTAATATCATTATCTATAACATGACAAAAACCTCTAATTCTTCTATTTCCAAATAAGAAAAGTAAAATAAAATTATTTAATCCCTTACTTTCACCAAGACCATCAAGTTTCAATGGTTCTACTTTCCCACGTAAAAAGGTTTCACGTTCCTCCTGTCGTCGTTTCATCTCAGCTTTCATTTCATCAGCAGCCTTTTGCATAATCAGTTGCTGGAAAAAAATGTGATTGAGTTGAAACATATCAGTGAAATATTGACCTATTTTAAACAGATGAAGTTCTCTGCTGGGTCAAGACAAAATGAAAAGAGAATTATCAGAAAAACCTGCTAGATTTTTGCTCAGTGCTTTGTTGACCGCCATTAGCAAGATGTATTTTTCATATTTAAGAAGCCTCAGGATTTCCTAGGAAATATGAATCTAAACAATATACATTGAATGGTGTCTAACAGCTGCAGTATGCGAAGAGGAGTTTGAAACTTTCAAAGCTCTTCAGAGTTGATAATCCGTTTTACTGACAAGTGCCAGCAAGCATAGAAACCACCAATTGCTTACCACCATCTAACACTTCTCAGTTTAAATTTGAAGTCAAGGAATTTTCAGGAAGCTATTCGTGTCAGGTAAACGGATGCATTCTTGTTTACAGTACCATTAAATCTATTAGATTTTAAAGATCTGTACTGACCAGATATTAATTTATATTCGCTTTCTTAAATCAGGTCGTGTGAAATCCAAATAAGAGGAATTCTTCTATTTAAAAAAATAAGTATTGCTTATCCACTAAACATTTATACACTCAAGTAGTTTATTGTTTCCCGAAGTAGGAATAGATCCACGGAAGATTTTCATACAGGTGTTTTGGATATGTCAGACTTGATTACGGTGTATATAGAGCGTATGAAGGTGTCCTGATTATGTATTCGAAGTGCTACAAATGATTATTACTAATAAATATTTGAAAGAGGCGAAACAGTAAAGATTTTGCTTTATGCAAAATTATTTACGTAAACTGTATAGTCTGACATGAATACCTGTTCTATATAAGAAAAAGGTGTTGGAATCATTTCGAAATAGTTTTGTGTACAGATTGGTTATAGGCGTTCTTTTCTGTCATATACACAGCTTCATTACTCATAGATATAATGCCTGTTGGAGTATGGATCTTAGGGTAACTAGACAGTGTTTGGCTAGTATGCATCAACGAACAACTAAATATAATTAGCAAATGAACTGTAAGGCACATTATTTACCACTGTTAACCTTATTAAACCTGAAATGTACAATCCATTTTAAATCACATTTAGTCGAGACACTGTAATTTTATGGAAATTATACGTCTGATTAAAACATAATGTTATAGAAAGGGAATATAAATCTGCAACAATCTCTGCTTGAACGAAGTCGTTGTTGGTCTGAAATAAATAGCTATAGAGTTTATTGGATGCAAGGATTATCAATTCACCCAAGTTCTCTAGAAGCTGGACATTTCTACTCCAGCTGTTCAAACGCACCTCTCTCCCGATGGCTTAGGCCTGTAATTAAAACATTTGTTTATCACGATCACTACAAGATGCATTCCTTTGCGTCGTGAGTGGAACAAAGTACTTCAAGCTTTGAATTTTAATTAGGCATGTTATTTTCATGGGGTATGGTTTCTAGCTTCACTCCCAATCTTCCAATCTATTGCGGACTTACTACCGGCCCAGCAAACTTTAGGAGTTTGTCAGTATCAAATAGAATTCCACCCACACATTTGGCGTTTCTAACAATTTTTTAAAAGTTTACTATTGATTATTTATGTATTTAGAGATATGCTTGTTTTATTTCGAAATTGTCTGTCTATATTCACAAAATGTTTGATGCTTATTGTCGTTTCATAACTTTTATTTATGAAGCTAAACGGATATGAATCTTACATTTTTACCAGTGAGCAATCTAACATAAATATTTGACCTAAATGTCTAGAAATGATGAGTTAATTCCAGTGGAGAAATCATTTGACCTTAATAGTAAAAATAGATTAGCTTACTTTCAACAGTCGTTTCTTCTCCTTTGACAAACCACCCAAACCCTTACGTTTCTGGCCAGGTTTGCGTTGTTTCTTTGAGGCTTCTTCAGCTTCTTTACGCTTCTTCTCCTTTAATAAACAAGAGAAGAATTCATTCACATTTTGTTGATATGTAAAACAAGAGTGCCTTAAATTATGAGAAAAATAGAGCAAATTATCAAAAAAAGGAAGAATGCTTCATATCATTTCTTCATTCCACTAAAAACTCGGTTAATTTTTTGTTAAAAACGCGGTCATTTAAAATGGGTTTCCTTTTCTCTGGTGTTTCTGTAAGCCAATAACATGCATGCGTACTCAGTTTATCCGCTTCATTTTTCAAGCATAAATAAAAAGAATCGAATGTAAAATTAAAACAAAAAAGGGCGTGAATTTGAAAAAAACACAGTTATACATTCAATCTAATTTTCTTTAGTTTATGAATTAAAACAACAACAACAATAATAACAGTAAACGATAACTGAACAGAATACTTATGATTTCTATTTTATAGTTTTATATTTCATTTAAAAGAAATATTTTTACTAAATAATGCCTGATCGTTGGATTGATTAGACGATTCAAAGGTTTGAAATTAGTTGTTTTTTCATGACTTTCACGTTTCATTAATAATGCTCAGTCTTCATCTTAACTGGTCTTATTCACAAGTTCACAACATGAACTAACATGTATAGGTCAGATTGTTGTAGATGTAGATGTAATTGAAAAAGATAGGATTTTCCAAGTTAAAATTTCTAACTTTAGCTACATTTCAGTTACATTGTCAGAGAAGTCTTTTCACTTTTACAAAACCTTTATAAATTCACATTGACTGAAACATGCGGTGGTTCGTAAATCTAGTGTTGTACTTTGAGCAAAAATTACTGGTGTATATTTTCTCTGTTCGTCTGATTTTTAGAATATCTAACCAGATACTTTTACTTCAATTAAGTAGGGTAAATGTTTTAAAGGGAAATTCTCGTTACTTAAGGAGTACTTCAAAGCTTTTCTTCATATTACTGCCAAACTTATATGCATTAAAAGCAAATCTTTTGTTCAAAAGATGTAAATAAAATTAGTATTTGTGATAAGAAGCAAAAGTTGTTACTTAGCCATTTCTTTTGATAAGAGCTGAAACAGGTTTTATTTCACCTATCTAATTAGGAACATATCAACAACTAGTCAGCTAAGTTCAACAATAGTGTCCCAAGGGATGCGAACGCAGGAGTGACCTTCAGCCGACCAATCATAAAAGTAAGTGACTTTTACACAAAAAATGATGTACATGTGCAAGAAAATGCATGAAAATGCATTAAAAACGGTATATCTCTCTGACATGACTTAAAAATACGTCTCAGTTATAATGATGAGTACCAGTTGCTAAGTTAGACTAGTTTCTGTACATGTATTCACCGAGGTGACTAAAGATTAGCTGTTTCTGTGATCTGTTTATCTCTTTTATCCTGTTGTGCAGTCTTCCCAAAAGCCCTCGGTTGAATTACTATGGTTTCCAGTAGGAGGATCGACGACTACTTACCAGGAAAATGTGGATAATAAAAAAATTGAAATAAATAACATCAACTCTAAATCTATTCTTTGGCGTAAACCCAACCGTAATCCTGACACTAACCCTTAACTTAACATTAACCCTAATTGCAACCCTTATCCTAACCGTAAACCTAACCCTAATGCTAATTATGACCCTGATCTAAACACTAACCCCGATACTTGGCTTAACCCTAATCCTAACCCTAACGAACTATTAACACATTGTCAAAACAGTACTTAAAAAAGTGATCTGAGTGAAATTTGCTGCTTAGTTGGTGAATAGCGTTGATATTTCAGCTATGACAGGTGCCGTCAGCCAACGACTAGCATGCATTCAATGTCGTTAGAGCATTCACACTCCTGGGACGCTATTTTTAAACTTCGCCAAACAGTCTTCTGATACTTTGGTTTTCTCAAACACCACTGATCCTAATATGAAAACATTTTCTGTGCTAATATAACCAACCAAAATAGCGTTTCATCTTGCACTTGGTTAGGCGTAGTATAGCATACCAGTTAAATAAAACCAACAAGAAAAAAAGGATTGAAGTTCCAAAACAAATTAAATTCGAAAAGAAACTGTGCATAGAGCTTCTTAACAGTTTTAGTATTTGATTCACTGAAATTACATTGTAGCTCAAAGAAGTCTTCTTTTTCCTCAATCGGTTATCACACTGTTAGTTAAAGAAAAGATTTTGGTTAAGAAGTTTTATGGCTGCCTCCAAAATGAATAGGATATTAGTTCTAAATGACTGGAAAGAAGTGTTAACACACTGAAGAAGATTCTTTGAGATACATTGTAATTTATGACTAGTCATTGTCATGACCTAGCTTGAACATGCCAGCCAATAATAAATTTTTATTCTTTCAAATTCGTGCATTGTTATTTTTGTTTTCATAAGCATTGATAGACTGATTATTTGATTAAATTTTGTCTGGAATGCAGTAACTTAGTAACGAGTCACAGACCTTCAGTAATGCTTTTAACCAATAAAAAGTGAGTTTTAGTTAGAACCAGTATGAATGGATAAGTAGGTGAGTAAGTAAGATAGTGAGTGAGAAAGCAAGTTAGTGAGTGAATGAATGAATGAGTGAGTAAATGAGTAAATGAATAGATAAATTAATCAAGTGTGATAAGTGAACTGGTAAGTAGTGAGTGAGTAAAAGATTGTTATTATTTCGTTAATAGGCTAGCTTGTGCTTCGGTTTAGCAAAAAAATTCTAACCTCTTGTTTACGCTGTCTTTCTTGAGCTACCTAAATTCATAAACAATAGAATAGGATAAATCGGAAATGTGAAAACAGCAAAAAATAGGCGACAACAAAGAGCGACATCATCAAAATGATTAACAGGTAAAAAGCTTTACACTAGGCAAGCATATTTCCTTAAGTTATTATTGTTATAGTCGCCTTTTTGTTACATAATAATAGTACACTTCAAAATAATTTTATTCATTGCATAGTTGTTAAATTACATCATGCCAGAAAATGGGATGAATTGTTGTTGACTATACAAAAAGTGACAGCATGCAAGTGACAGTAGTATGGTTTCAGTATATATTTTATTTTTCAAACGTTGATATAATTAACAGAATTTAAAACTGATGGAGTACTGGATTGCATTCCAATAACTGAGTGACCAACAATCTTGTATTTTAACCTAAAGGTGCAGTGAAGTCATGGTTGTCTACTATCGAAGAGCTCCAGACCAGAACGAAACAAACGTCAGGTACTTCCGCGCATTCAATGGTTCTCTAGTTTTTGCCAGTTCATGATTTGATTTGGCGTAATTTGTTCTTGAAAAAATTCTTCTATAAGTTGTACAACCAGTGTGCTACATTAGCTGGCTGCAGTTTGTCTTCGTTACGTAAGAAAGGAAGACTGATTACACTTACTTCCATATAAATTAGATAACTTCATTGTAAATTATGCAAAGAACTTTTTAAATTTCTTTGACTTATTTTTTTGGACAAACTTAGGAGTATCTATGGAGTGTTTAAGGAACAAATAGTATTTGCACTTTGAAATAATTAGAGCCTTTATGTCAAACTGATCAGGTCAACAGTTGAAAATCAACAAGCCAGCTGTTGCATATTAAAATGTGACCAATTCTTGGGCATAGTAGTAAGTCCTGTCGTTTACCGACAAAGCTTCTTAAATGTGCATAAATCATTTTTCGACACGTCCTTAACCACCCAAATATTTCTACAACAACCCGCAATTGTCATGTATGACGTAGAGTATTCACGGAGGAGATTATGTATTCGCTGAAAAAGTGTATAGCTGAACACAGGACAGGTCATTCTGCTTCCCTAATCTATAGCAACTTATACAGTTAACATCTGTTCTGTGTCGTCACTGATTCCTATGTTCAGAAAAGACCTACAGTGTAAGCAGCTAGATTTCCCTAAACAACCAGGACATAAAGTCTGCAAAAAATGCCAAGTATCATGCCATCATTTGAAACGAAATGGTTGCTTGAGCTCAGTCAAACTTAGTACACCACTGATAAGCTCGGCACTAAATGAGTAAAACGGCAGCACAGTGTTTTAGGACGCTTTGATCTGAATAGCAAGCACTTCTTGTTTCAAGATATTCTTAACATTAACATTTTTTAACTTGACGTCTAACCTTGATTTACACTTCTAGCTAGCTTGTAAAACATTCAGTTCTTCAGTCATTTAAGTTGTTGCATCCTATTTATTCAAAACTAAATGTCAAACATGCAATACGCTGACTTTAAAAAAAATTATTTCGGAGGGAATAACATATATTACTGTCACATAACAGCATTCTCGATACATATATATATATATATATATATATATATATATACGGATGATGACGGGGTGGGGAAGGGAGAAATTGATTTTTGCTAAATAGATGGTCACCAAAAATGTCAAACTCTGAATTACTTTGAAACATTTGGAATTTCAGAACACTTTATCCCCACTGTTTAAATTATTTACACAAATTCTAAGCAACATCACTACAAGTGTTGACGGATACGAATTCAGTAATTTACACACTGAAGGATGTTATATGATGCAGTTTAACTCCTCTTAGAGAATATTTGATTTTGAGGTATGAAAAATCGAATTATAATTCGTCTGCTGAACACATTAACAGTTTAGAATTGACAGAATGTAACTAAAGAAACCTGTTCATTAATTATTTTAACTGCCAAATGAATGAATCATTTTAGAAGAATATTTTCAGAGTGATGACTTTTGTGTATCTTCGAATTGATTTCTTATTATTCATCTCATAGGCTCTATTTTCAGCCCTTTCTTTGTTTATACGATAGTGTAAGCCAGTGACTCATTAGTGTATTAGAATAATTACTTATATTTCAAAGTGTCATACGACGCTTACTTAAATCATAACTTTCTAAAATAATGCACCAGTCAGTGCGAGGAGATGGTGAACCGTTCAGTTTGATGATCTAATACATTGCAAACTTGACTTATAGAATCCAGTCAGGTGTAAGACTATGTATATTTGGAATACACATAATGTTGGTTACCGCCTAATAAACATTCAATGCTTAAAATGTTTGAAAATTGTCTGAGCAACTAACACACTGTGTCTACTAACTTATTGTAAAAGAAACTTGAAAGCAAAACAGGTGAGTTGAGCTATCTAACTTACCTCTTCCTCCCTGCGTTTACGTTCTTCCTACAAAATGAGTAGCATAGGATAAAGGTAATTATATCATTTTTCTTAGAAATTTTAATGGATTATATTCAAATCAGAATTAAAAAGGGCAGATTACAAATGACATTATCAAAACACCATGCACATGAAATTACAAAATCAAACGTTTGACTACAGCTTACTGATGACCAAAGCATTAACTCTACAGTAGGTTGCACTTGTTTAAGAAAAAAACTGTTCATTTCTCCATGTGTAAAAAATATGCCGTGTTGTGTACTTACTTAAATGAATCAACTGCGCTCCCTTAATACCATTCTTATTTTTACAGGAAGTGATTATTCTTTTACGAATGCAACCAGCTTTTTTGTCTAAATGTTTTGTAAAATAACTAGTAAGTGTTACCTTTTAACAGTTTATGGCCGAAAACGATAGTCCCTGTGAGACTATTATCTGTCCTATATAGAACAGACTCATAGATATTCGAAAAAACTATCATTAACTTGACAATATCATTTATCAAAACGTTTAGAGGACTGGTTATTGCCAGTAAAACAGTAATAAAAAGTTAAGTAACTTTTGGTTTACTAAACTTTTTTATGAATTGAAATACAGCAACAATACTTTCTTTGTAGTACGGACACCAGTACTGATACTGTCGATTTTGCAGAGAGTAAGCACTCTCAGAAATATACACGCTCTCTCATGTCATCATAAAATTTACGAACAACTGATGCATTTCTGTAAGTTCTCTCTTACTCAGTCAGTTTTGTTCATCAGAATACTCAAATTGTACTAAGTGAATGATATACACTAGCTTCAGGTGTACGTTTACTACTCAAGGTAGTGGAAGTAGTAGTAGTAGTAGCAGCAACGGTAATAACACGATCTCACAGAGATATTTCGCATTATGATGTTTAAAATGTGAAGTATCTCACTTACCTCCTATTTTGCAGAAGATGCAAAAACATTCGTGATACAATTGTTAGGAAATAGTGGGGGAGAGGTAGATAGAGAGATAAAAACACACAGAGAAGAAAAAATAAAAACATGAAAATACGTGACCAATGATTTCAGCTTAGTAAACAAAACAAAATCTATTCAAATCACATGCACGCTTTAAATTCTGTTGACTACAAAATAAATAGAAATATTATTGTATTATAGTTTCATAGTAGACCTCGCGTCGAGAAACAACATTACGCTAAGGAACTTTAAAACAAGGCACACTATGGCGCTGAGTTACTCCACTTAACCCCTTGTTGGTAGTGTACACCAGAAACCCTATGAAAGGTTGAACACTAGACAGTAAAGCTGTATAGTTAAATCCCGGAAGTGATCATTTCAGAGCAATTATTCACCAAAGAGCGCTAATTTCCTGGTTATGTTCTATCAAATGGTTTAGGAAACTTTGGGATTTATGAAATTGGTATTCCATATTTGTATACATTTGTCCAGAGAGTCCCTTAGTTTATATTTTAAGAGAATTTGTGACGTTTCCGATTCTTTAAGAAGGATAACTTATTATCTTATGGCTAGGAAAGTGTAACGGAGAAGTTCACTTACAAATGTCACAAGAAGTTGGATAATACCTAAACTACTTTTACCCTTCAGATTATTTGTGGATGATCGAAAATATTATTGTTTCTCTAAAATATCTAAGATAAATATGTGAATAAATCCAAGACCAGTTATTATGCTTTCTAATAGGCAACCCTCTATTTTTCTTTATATCACAAACAGAAGGGTGAGTGAAAGCATCACTGAAATGTGACATTTCCTACTAACAAATTACTTTTCATATCAGTGATGATGGAGTGTCCTAATTCATCCGTATTTCACAATTCACGACAATAATTTTTGCTCTGTTCTCAACCAATTTGTTTTTGAATGAGAATATTACTTTCCAACTCTTAGGAGTCAATAGTTTTGAAAAGTGAAATAAGAGACAAGATGTACTATTGAAGAATCTATCAGTTTCAAAGAAATTTTGGGTCAGCTTGATTGGTGATTGTCTAACCAAAACATTTACAGTTTTATAATGGCTATGTGTCATAATTTAATGACACTTAAGTAAGTCGCCTTACATTCTGTTAGTTAAACTGAGAAGATCTGTGGCTCAGGTGGTTATTTTTGATATAGTAATGTTCTCTGAGCCAGAGGGTTTGATTACAAAGCTTTCATTGCCCTTCTAGGCAAGATTTTGTAGCGCTTACTTTAGTGTAAAACGACTACACTTTTCTATTCTGTGTCGCACTAGATAACATTTTCAGATTTGTCAATATATATATTTCATTAGACAACGTGTCGCTACGTATGTGATGTTTCTTCAGTGTTTATGGTAACACTTTCATACAAAACGCATTGGAATGTTTTCAACAAATTAGGAATACAATCAATCTAACTACAGTCAAACTACGAAAATAAAAAAATAAGGAACGTGTTAAAGTGAATTACATAGAGAAGGCAAAAAATGTTGCTTATTCGTTGAGAGTAAAAGTATTCTTTTCACTGTTTTTCAACTACTGTCAATCTGTGTGAGGAATTATCCTCTAGAAATAAAATGTTATATCCCCCTAATTTTATCAAATCACATAATAATCATATTTTGTAGGATCATTCACTTTGTATTCCCACTCTTCCTGAAGACTGAACTCTCACTTGTTGCTAACCCTTCCAATTTATCAGTGAATTCAGTGTTTGTCATAGTCACTTAAAATATATACAATCAGCATCACTGTGTGGCATTTCGACAATTGTTTGTGACACTAAGAGTTATTCCTCAAAAGTCCATTTGATGCCATCTTTTTGCATGATGGTGGTATTGTAATTGTGGTTCTTCACATTGTGATTAACCATTACAGTGGTTTTCGTTTAGCGCTTTAGATTCGTATAGTTTAAAAGTTTACTAGGCTGTATTGTGGATGATATAAAAATAAAAATCTTGATTATAACAGTAAAATCTATTCTACTTGACTGAAATAAAAGTGAATACAAGGAATAATCGGAGGGATGGGAAACCATAAAGAATAAACTCAAATCTACATGGTACTTGTTTACCTCTTCACTGTCTTCATGATCATCTTCAGAAGAAGACTGAATCAATTTCAAAGGTGGAAATATTATTTTATTCTCAATTTGTGAATAAAAAATATTCTAAACTGCGAGTAAACATGTAGCATTTTGCATATCTAACTGAAGCCTTTGCTCATCTCAATTTACTCATATTTAAGCATAATTAAAACATAATCTAGAATCCAATTGGTGGATGGTAGCTAGCAGTGGAATCCAGGATGCGCATTTCGTCCTATTTGGGACTCGTCAGCTGGATGTACCTGAATTTCTCAGTGAGTGATGATGTTCCCACCGAGGCTCGAACCCAGTACCTATAGATTCAAACGCCAAAGCGTTATCCTCTAGACCACTTGGGCCACGAGAGCCACCTCTTGTGCAACGGGTCATCTTAAGTATTGAATTGAATTCTTGATGTTCCCGTCCATTGATTGGACCGAAATAAATACCCAGACATCGCCGAAGCATCTTCACAAGAAGCCGACATGTCAACCTGATACCGAGCACTTCAGTCCAATCAATCGACGGGAAAATGAAGAATTCAATTCAATAATTAATATGACCCGTTGCACAAGAGGTGGCTCTCGTGGCCCAAGTGGTCTAGTGGATAACGCTTTGGCATTTGAATCTATAGGTACTGGGTTCGAGCCTCGGTGGGAACATCATCACTCACTGAGAAATGCAGGTACATCCAGCTGACGAGTCCTAAATAGGATGAAATGCGCATCCTGGATTCCACTGCTAGCCACCATCCACCAATTGTATACGAACTAAATGCCCGGACATCGCCGAAGCATCTGCACAAGAAGCCGACATGTCAACCTGAGACCAAGCACTTCGGTCCAATAAATCGACGGGAAAATGAAGAATTCAATTCAATAATCTAGAATGTTTTGAGTGTTTGAAGGACTGATTAACATCTTATCGAACAGGCTCGCCCTCATAAACTGGAAATGTATTAGATGCAGCCAATTATCTTCTTGGCAAGTTGGTGTATACTACATTATCCAATTTTGTCTGCAATAGTTGCTATATTTTTATAGGCAAAGTTAGAATTCATGGACAGTTGAATTCCGTCCCACTTGCTGAATAATGAGCAAGCTCAACTTATATCCCAAATGTGCTGGATTAGTTCTTTGGTAGGATCATTAGCTCGTACAGCTAAAGAGTCCCAAACTAAGGAGAAGCAGCTGTCCACTATTCTCTAGTATTCAACGGTTCGCTAACTGACGTCATTTCGAGATTTTGAACCTGAAATCAATCAAAGCCCAATGAACCAAAGCTTGAAAACGTTTACAACTGAACAGTAATAACATAGTGAATACGAGATAACAGGGAAGAATATGTGGAATAATCGTGCACAGTCCTCCGAGAGATTCGCTTTCCAACGTAACGTGAATGCGATGGATTATGGAGTCAAGCATGCCTTCGTCAGAGAGATTTTCTCCAACCTAAGGAACATTACTTTTGTCTTTAAATGGTTCCTATATTTCAATATAAAACAAAAGCTTTTCAAAACATCAACGTAAGTTTAATGCTTTATTTAATATTAATAATTTGTGCGTGTTACACACATGAATACTAACTTGTCTATTCATATGTCAAAGCAATAACATAGATATTATTACCAGACATCAATATATGTACACTTAGGGTCAATTTAATAGTTGAACACACTGATAATGAGTATATAGGTCAATTTAATTTTATCTGTTAGCCTTAATGTGTGACTGAACGAAATGTCACACGAAATAAGCCATATTATCGGTTCATATGTTAGACAATTTCCAGCATTTATTTGTCTTTCAACTTTTAAGAACGTAGACAATGGAATCAATAAAAAGTGGACTACATTCTACAAATAAATGAAATTAAAGATTTCTACAACCTCGCATTGATACTGTTCAACGTAAATATTTCAAAGAATGCAGAATTCATTGCTAATGTTACACAATTAGATGCAATTTACACGTTTTAGTGTTATTGTGAGCTTGAAATTTCTTTATTAAATTCTTATGTACAGAAGGTGTGATTTTTTGAGAATTTAAGTCATATATTCATAGGAATTAATCACTGAAAAGGCGGCTAGCATTTGCAGTGAAACGTCCTAGGAAAACAATAAACAGATGTTAAATTGTGTATGTTACTCTTAGTACAAAGTCAAATATTGAAAATGTCTTAGTATGCTTTAACTGCACGTCACTGTCATTAATTATAGTAGCTACTGTGTATTTTTGATGCTCCTAAATTCTTTTTCTTTGATTATACTCAAATCAAAAGAGTGAGATTTATCCACTTCGTCGAGGCAGATTCCATTTTGACATGGTTACCAAATAGCAGTATTATACTGCGTAAGCTGCATGCTACTGAATTTCATATAAGTAGGTAAAATAGTAATACTGAATATTTCCGACTAGTTTCATTTCAAGAATGTTTATCTTAATTCAAAATGTTAAACTAGGCATGTTTATCTTAATCAAGTGGTATTATGATAATCAACTATTTAATAGTGTGTAAATACAGGTTTCAGGTTACTTTAGGGCGAAAAAATCCAGTGTTTTAGCAATACTTTAGTTGAAGCTCATTTGGGGAAAAAATCGACAATAAATTATTGTTTATATTTACGCAGATAACTCGGTATAGTTCAGACTCTATTTCATCTCCACAACCATCTGTTCTTCTAAATACTACAAACTACCAGCGAAAGTGATACTGCTGATTAATTTGTGAGTCGCCATTCTATTGAGATCGTGATTGTGAAAAGATATACGTTTTCTAGTATACCGGTAGGTTTAACCAAGTCCCAATTTTAACGTATTTAAGAATGGCGCAAGTAGTAGTATATTCCTTTCGTTATTTGAAGTGCAGAATTCAGGATTAACCTTAGCAGTTAAAACATTATCCCACAGTTCTATAACAATATTTTCGGGAGCCTGAGTAACTCATTAACAACGTCTCTAACTGCAACACTGGGTGATAACGATTCGAATCTTCGAAAGAATATCAGCTGCTTTGAGGTTATAGATATACCTCTCTGATAAGTACCCAGAGCTTTCTGTCAATCGCCTTCAATTATCTCAGATCTGCGCATTCTCTTAATCAAGATATCTTCATTTTTAAAATAAGAGTGCCTGAAATTTTCTGTGTCGATTTAGATATTTAAACGCCTCGAAAGAAGAAACTTTGTCTGTGACGCAAATTAAAGGTGACATTAGTTAACAACAAAGCCCAGAGAGCTCAAAAATATTTCTTTTTCACTACAAAGCACAGAAGACAACTTTAGAACACAGTATCAATATTTTTTCATTAGCTTTAGTTTTCGTAGTAATCATTATTATGGTCGGTCATTCTTATCTAAGTTCCTACCGGTTTTATTTTTAATTTGCTAACGTTTTGTGTACATTGACCTTACATGTCCGAATTATCTCCATACTACTTTCTGCAGCAAATATTGAACTGAAAAAGTAAACATAACCACGTGATTCAACTATCACACATGGATTTATAGATTAATTTACGTGACATAGCTATTGACTAAGAATGGAAATCATTATTTGACTAGTAAAATGTGAAGTGTAATTTATGAAACAAAACCTTGACATAAACATTTAAACATGAAACTATACGTTTTGACTGCAGTTTGTTCTATAGATAAAAAAAAGACTGTCAACGTACCTTATCTCGTTTCTCTTTCTCAGTCTCCTAGAAAAAAAGAGTAAAACATTGAAGAAGGAAAATTAAATTATGACCTAAAAATGATGAGTTCACTAAGCTAACACACAAATGTGGTTAAACATAAACACACATACACATACATGTATTGCTAGATAAATGCGAACGACATTTAGTATACAGCTAATAACTTGTATAAATGTATGTACTATACAGATTATTCATGCTTTATAATAAACATATTAGAGAATTAGATAAAATACATATATATAATATATATTCACTTTTATAACTCCAGATATCCTCCCTTTTCAAACAGAGAATATATGTAATGAAAAAGTAGAAATCTTCAACATGCTGTCCAGTTACTGTCATGCAGTTCCATTGCGAAATAGAAATAAGCAGTTTACCATTTTGACGGCTTTTTGAGACTAATGGGAGAATATATGTACATAGCATTTTCCAATGGGAAGTGCGAAAACCTTAGGATTGACACTAGTCACAAGTCTCTACTAGCAGAAACTGTAGGAATAAAGAAGATTTATGTCTCATTCGAAGGAAATCAAATTCTCTGAAACCACACCATAGTGCATTATGAAAATTGAGAGTAACTAAACTATAGTATGCTTTATATTTGCCTCTATAAACAAAAATTTATGTTACTATAATGGGATCTTGTATATAACATACTAACGGAAAGTACGAGGAACCAATATCCTCTTTGACAACTCATAACTATATATTTTAATAATTCGTACTGCTTGAATTATCTTCAGAGAATATCTGATTTAACATTTATTACATATGTTGACAGCTGGTAAAACTAAGTGTTATTACTCGACAGGAAACTGAAATAATTCTAATAGTAACCGGAAAATCTCGCTAACATGAGTCATTTTCCTCATTCCGTAACACTACAGAAAAATTTCTGTACAGACTAGTGAATTCCCCTGACACTTTGCACACATATATATAAAGGGTGTTAACTAGGTCCACTTTAGTGGTTTAATTAGCTGTTAATGAAAGTGGACCCTTCACAGAATAATGTTGGCATATGATAGCCACTGTTTTACCGGCCTTTGAGATTCAAATCTTCCCTCTGAAGTCTAGTCAAGTTCTAAAGAATTGAAATAAGATGCTACACTATAACATTTCAAATACACAACAAAGCAGATATAACACCTAAGTGTTTCATACATTATGTAGGCAAATAATAAGTTACTCTCTGAGTGTTAAGTGAAAACTGAAATACACTGATATATAATGAATAGCATGCTAATACGTTGACTAAACATATATGTTTACACATCCATAGACAAATCTGCAGATATAATTAGTATCTTTGAACACAAAGTAGTGCAGTAGCCTCTAAAATATAGACCTATGCATTATATGTACACACACATGTAAACACATACACAAATGTGCAAGATACACTTATGCTATATATTGTGTGAGTGTGTATGTGTAACTTTGTTTTATTTATGTTGTTTAAATACCAAAGTGCCCACCTCTTCAGACTCTTCCGCAGACTTTAACGATTTAGATAGTATTCAATTATAACAGATCATTATTAGATCATGTTGAATCATACAACAAAAACAAGGGTAAATAGTAAAAGAAAATATTTCATTAGACAGTACAAATTGAAATATTTAGATGACAAAATGAATCAAACATTTAAAACAACAAAGAAGGCACTTCGGTATCAAAAAGGTATACTCCTGGAGTAAAAGTAATGACTTGTCATCATACATGATTGAATGCATTCCTAAAAGCAAACAGCTGGATATTTCTTACTGGCCTAGACACTCTCTACTCGTATCATGACAAATATTCTTTTATTACAAGCACTACACTAATGAAATTCTTTCAAGCAGTATGAAATTGAGGACAAATATTTTTATTTTGCAAATGAATAAACAGTTGAATTAGTTTTTGTAGGCATAGTGTATTCTCATTTGCGTAGTTTGTCGAATAACAGTAGATTAAATGAAAAAAATACTTAAATAAATACAGTTATATGCCTTTCAGAGCATTAAAAAACTTATACATTGGATTTGGCTCGTTTCAATGTACAAAACAAAATAATAATAATAATAAAGAATTAACTTACCTCTTCAGATGAACTGTGATTTTTAAAAATGGAAAAAGAAAGAATTTTAATATCAACCATTGAAACATTGATCGTACATCTTACAAACTCTGCGGTTTCGTTAAAATCAAGCTGTGCTTGTTAGTCTCTATGTTCCACTGAGAACTCAGGGAATGAGTAATTTGAAATGATAATGGGGGCTTTTGTAATACATGTTTAGCCGATATCCTTTAAAGGTTGACTGTAAAATGATTCTGGTGAAGCGATTGAAGTAATATGTATATATTTATCACTTGGTTGATGGTGACTAGCAGTAGAATCCAGGGAGTCTAGTGGATAACACTTTGACATTTGAAACGATGTGTGCTTGATTCAAGTCTCAATGGGAATATTTCTACTCATTGAAACTGAGGTTGCAGACAACGCAGCCAATAAGTCCCGAATAGAATGAAACGCGCATCGCAGATTCCATAACAAGTCACCGCTAACCAATCAACATTATGTTTACCTCAAACAATTGTAGAAGCCTTCAGACTAGGCTCCTTTGTTTCAACATAGACCGAATATTTCGGTCCTGTAAAATCAGCCAATGAGTAATTCACAATAACTTCAACAAGGTGTATACATTTAAGTGTAGTGGATACTAGTGAATTAGTACCTACATTATTTATATCTTATCATTATTTATTTTTTTGGATCGATATTAGAGCTTTTTACTAAGCTTTGATTTCTCCTTCTGCGTTAATGTATAAAAATACCTCGTCCATCAGTGAATTTCAACGTGAAGTAGTTCTTACTGTTTATATTCAAAAGACAGTTGTAGAAATGATTCATTTTAAGCAAAACACAAGAAATGACTCCTTCTATTAGCTTTAAAACGTATTTTACAATACTAACAAGCATTCTAATTTTAATTACGTGTTATTTAGTTGTGTGTACAATGTAAAATTTATTCAATCATATTTTGTTTTAAGTCTCAGATTTATACATATCTTTGATTCATCAGTGTAAACAGACTCGTTTCATCCATACTGTGGTTTAATGATAAGAATGGAACTGTTCTTTAAAACTTTTATTAGAAATCTGTTACTGGCTACGGTGAGTCAAGATTTTTGCTAAATTTCTTGAGAAACTTACGTTTTAATAACAGTGTATAGTCACTGGATAGTAGCATTAGATATTTAAGCTGATCTTTAGAAATACAAACATCCCATATTTTATCCTTTTAGCTCTCAGCAGATGTATCATACCAGTTTGTTTAGCAGTTGCATTATACCCTGTCAGTATTCATAAACTGTTTCTTTCTAAAAGTGTTAAGTACCAGTGACTTCAGTTTATCCTGTGAACCTTAAAGATGCTTTCTCTGATATACTACATTTCAAATGTTTTGTGTTGCTCATGGAATTTTTATGTTTCATATTTTCATTAGACTTTCCCAGATTATTATTCTTTAACTGGAAAAACAGATTAACGTCCTCAGTTCAAGCAATTAGTCATCGAGAAATCTTTCAAATATACATTACTGAATTCATTAAAACTAATTAAAGTGGAATACATTTATTGTGCACAACCGTTGTCTTGAGATAATACATCTCTCAAAACCTAATAAATCTTCTTATAAATAAAGTTGCTTGAGCCAAGTTTACTTCACTAAGTAGACTTAAGGTTAAAATTACTGATTTTTAAAGCATAACTAAGTGAGTTTAACTTTCGGCAAAATATATTTAAATAGCATTATTTTTCCCAGTGGTGCTTTGTCTGTCAGCTAGAGAAATTGTTACTAACTTCCAGTTTCAGTGTCGTTAAACTAAACCTCTATGTTTTTTAATAATAGTAACAATAAAAAGCAGCTTAAGATTCCAATTAAGTCTTTTAGTAGCGAGAATACTAAAGTTTAAGAGCGCTAATGTTTTAACGTGTAATTTAAATTGACAATTATTTTGGTTTGTTTTATTACTATGACAGGATAATATTAGTTTCGCGTCCATGTGAACTACATCAGAAGCAAAATGTGGTTATCCAGTATTTCCTGGTTTCTGTTGAATGCCCGGATGATTTACATCCATGAGGAAAATTACTACCAGATGAATTCAGTCTTTATAAATTGTCGTCTGTAGAACTGTGTTTATGTGGACTTGTAAAAGATGTTTAAACTCATTTCGGCATTTCGTACAACTTTTGTACATATAAGTCAGAAACCGTTAAGTTTTTAACAAGCAAGTTAAACATTCAAAGGACTGTGAAATTTTTTCAGTGTGCATGTAGGGGGAGGTGGGAAAGGATTGAATTAATATTAATTGTAGTTAGTAGTCATTGGATTTCGGTTACCAGAATTTCGTTCAAGCAGTTTTAAATGAATCCTCCCGTAGATATTCATCAGTATAAGGTCTGTTTTCAGTAGAAAACATTTATGATCATATTAAAATACACTTTTAATACAGGTGTCACTTAGATATAGTTTTACAACAGTGATTAGTTGTTTTCTCTAGTGATTAGACTTATCATCTTAGCCTGTGTTGCGATTCCATACTGAAGAAATAAATGCGATTAAATGGTAATACTTATGCACTATAGTAGATGGAATGAAGAAACCTAATTGTTGGTGGTTGCCAACAGCCTGGAAATCTACTCGGTGCTCTGAAAAATTCTAGGGGACTAATGGTTTGCCATTTGAGTCGAAACAAGAATACTAAAACTGCTATTTGTTTGTATCGCTTATGTCTTATTTTTTAAATATTGATAAAAACCGCTGTTTACTTGAAATTCTGAAATTACGCACATAAAAGTAATCTAGGCACTAACACTTTACTACTGTGTATTATGTCAAATGAATACATCTAATGTGAAAGTATAGACAACTACTTTTTTATATTGAATTTCGTTATTATCATATCTCTTTTGTATACTTGATAATTTTTAAGATTCATCTCTATTTATATCTGTCAGACAACGGTAATCGCATACTTGGAGTAGAATATTCTGACAATTAGACCTGATGTCAGTTCTGTGATGACTGTATTGCCACATTGAAATTATAATGAAATGAGTCAAACAGAATAACATGAATTATGAATAAAACAAGTAGTGGCCGGCAGCAGAAACCAGGACCCTACTTTCAACCTATCATTGACTCGCTGATTGGTTTTCAAATTACATTTCAATAAAAAAAATCAAATACAATATTGAGGTGTCGTTTCTAGGCGTACATTTACCAAACTGAAACCGATTATTCCAGTTGAATGAAAAAGAAAACGAAAAGAGGGATAATTCATCAGAAGTTTAAATAAATCAGGAAAAACTTACCTCTGTTGGCTTTCTTCGTCACTCATTTTGATATACTAGGAAGTGATGATACAGACGATAGAAATTCTACAATAAATATGATAAAACGAAACTTTAAATGATTGGAAACCTTAAATATATATATATATATTTATAGATTAGGAGAATTATATTAAAAATATGCTGTAACTAACCGAAAGTAGTGTGAAGTGAATATTCGCTTGACACCTAGTGAAATGTACCGATGGTAATATGAAACCGTAACCTGATTATTTAATTTCAGTGTGTGCGTGTGTGTATGTGTTCGTAATTCAGTGATTATGTGGGCGTCACATCCCTGCTTCTTCTTCTTCTTCTTCATCCCAAATGGATGCATTTGTTTTTCCTTCATTGAATCGATTAATTGAGGACACTGAAAGGAAGCCAACCGCATCATGGCTTCTAATTCTACCCCTCATACGCTTTCACCAACAACGTAAACATACTCTCAGTCGTTGGCCAATAAATTTGGTATTTAAGTGCATGTGTAGTGGTGTGTATACATGTGTGTGTGTGCGGATAATTACCCTCTAATCGATCGATAAAAATCCTTAATGTTGTGCTATTTTAAAAACAATGAATACCTTCTATCCCTTTTTATTAGCACGAAATTAATCGAAATGAAGAAACTTAGTGGATGGGACAGTTGTTGTTCCTCTTATTTTTTTTCCTTATCCTTATTATGATTATTGGTTCATTCACATTGCATGTAAACCAGCTGCGTGAAAATATTGATCCGATTACGGATAGAAAGTTAGGTGATTCTGTGCGCACACATAACATGAAGTCAGGATCTTTTTTTGTGTGTGCCGTAGGGCAAAATGTGCTTTTCTTAAAAACTGAATATTTCAAAACAGTTCTTTCTCTCACCTTGGAAAAATTGTAAGGTTAAATCGATAAAAGATTATTCAGGCTAATTCACGAAACAAAATTATGTGCAACTATGCTATACTTTCAGCCGAAGTAATGATATTTGGCACAGGACGAAATTTGTTCAACAGATTGTAAAGTAAAAAAAAATACAGAAATCGAAAAACTGCCAGATGAGATGAAACTGAAATTTGAATAATTTCGCGCTCCCTATGAAGGAGTGAAAGCAGAACAGTAATTATTATCATTAGTTTGGAGCATCATTACGTTTGCTCAAAAGTGTTATTTGTGTTGTTGGTGTCTACCTAATATTAGGTTCTGCGACACGCTTTCCATCCCTTTTAGGTTAATCAACTGAACAAACATGCATTCCAGAACTATTATGTTTCTCCTGAGACTCAGACTCAACTTCCATCCCACTGGGGACTCATCTTGTTAAGGTGAAGTGAACGCCATATCTAGAATAGAAAGAGGTTAGAATTCACGGGTCACCGAATTCGAACTCATTGGCTGAATAGTCTACAGGTATTGGATTTGACCCCGGTGTTGGGGTCCTGAGTGCGTACTGCCACTGAGTTTCAAACAAGGACGAAACAGACAATCAGAGCGCCTCGGTTTTCTATGATTCCCAAACTGATTTCACTTCCTGATGACATCTACGTGAAGTCATAATTTACTGTTAAATTGCAAACCTGGAGGACTGATGAACTGTCTTCAGAAGATATAGAAATCTTCATGGTGATTTGTAAATCATACTAACAAAGATTGTATCTAATGGGTTTAAATGTGAGGAAGTTAAAAGAGTATTAAACTAAGTGAAGTATTAATTGAAGAATAAGACTTGTATTTAAAACTTCAGATGGAAGTTTCACAGTGACCGGCTTTAGGAAGTAGTGCTTAGGACACAAGATGGGATTTTCCATAAAGTATGAATTACTAATGAGCTTCAACAGCCGCTAAGAAGTGATTTCGTTCATATTAATCTAAGTGCATTCCATCAACCCGAAGCGGTAAAAGTTACCATCAAGCAAGTTCAATGTGCAGATAAATGTTCTGAATCAAACCGTTAAAAAACCTCCAGCCGACTGTCTCACGCTATTAAGGTTTTGATACATCGTCCGAAGCTTTCACAAAATGTTTTTGATTGGACTTTATTTACACGCTAAGACGTATTCTTTTTCTTGTTTTGATAGCACATAGAAGTGTACAAGTGAAACTGTTATATGGTTCAAAATTCAAGGGAATATTTATTTCTGGTTCTGGGATTTTTAAAAATTGTTCCAGCTAATTTCCTGTATTCATGTGATAGCCTTAAAAAAGCCATCTTCTCAATTCGAAGAGAAATTAATTTGCCGTTTATCCTGTATTATGTGAAAGCGAATTTTAACTCGAAACCATTTTTTTCCACATAGTTGTTTAAAATTTTCATTATCTGAGTCAGAGATTCTGAGCACAAAGAAGAACAACAAATCTAGGTCTCAAATTTACTATTTCAACGAAAACAAGACTCTTTCTCTAAATAAATTAACCTTATTATAAGATGCGTAGTGTAGTTGTATGCTAAGTATTATTTAATAAGTAGCTAACTTCATGATCTGTTTTACTAATGTTACTAGTATGCAAAAAGCTCTAGAATCAAGTTTGATTTCATTTCGGGCAATGCATATTTATATCTCTAAAGAAAATTTAGTGAGTGGGAAAGGCATATCAATTAGAGATAAGAATGATATCTTAGTCCAGATCCCCACACTGACTGAATGCTTTCATAGACCACTAATAACAAACGTAATTATTTCATTTCAGGTTTCATAATCTACGAGTTGAATCCTTAAGTCTATCACATACCTGGTTTCGGAAGTTATAGAAATATTCTTTGATCATTTCCCCAAACTTTCTTTTTATTCCTTTAAATTCCCAGTAGAATATAAGAATTCATGCTAAGGCTTTGAAATTTTAGTAGCAGCGGTGTTTATTTTGACAGGATGGGGTTGCTAGCCTCATGCCCAACCTTCGCTCTTTGAAAGTCTTATTAATGGTTTAGAGACGTAAATGAGTGCGTTGGCCGGGGATCAAACACCAAACCACCTGCGTGGTTGGCGAGCATTCTACCGCTGTGCCACCAACGCTATTTCCCAAAATAAAAGCTCTTTGGCATTTCGTTTAATACTATAAATTTTGAAGAGACACTGCTGTTTAGTGTGTAGTACCCCTATACCAACTGTAAACATGCTTTTTAATCTAATTTGTATACTTGTATTATATGTGTATACAGACCGATTTTATATGTACTTCGTAAACATTTGTCAATTCACTGTTGAATATTACCTTAACACAATTTGGAATTTGACTACTGCTACAATACACGATCGTACTCTTCGCAAGTGCCTTTTGATTTACGTTGTGGGCGTCGAGTAGCCACAACGTCTGTGCACATTAATAAAAGTGAAGAAATACTAGAATATACGTGTACGCAAGTTTAGTCAAATAACGCACGCAACAAAATTGGTGAGCCCGACGACAAATTGTTGACCCTCAGGACAACTTGTTCATCCCAACGACAACTTGTTCATCGCGACGATAACTTGTTGACTCCGACGACAACTTGTTCACCACGACGCATCATTACACTTGCTGGATTATTTATACCCTAACTTTATCGGATCTATATATACATATATATAATAGACATTTCGAACTCATTCTTGTGCTTTCTCATCGCACAACTTGCAGTAATCTGTGGTAAGCATCTGCATTGCATGTTTTTCTGTTTTGCCATATTCTTGGTGTGCATAATTTTTGCTATTTTGTTACTCTTAAACCATTTTTCTACGAATTGTAATATGTCTTCCAATACCTCTAATAACTTAGAGCTGGGATCTGTTAGTACTATTTCTCTTACTGTACCAGTTTTTAAGCCCAGAGACCCCATCTTTGGTTTGCACGACTGGAACATTATTTCACTGCCAATAAGCTGACATCACAGACGGCTAAATTCGGCATTTGAGTACAGTACTACCAGACGAAATCGCCGAACAGGTTCGACAATACGTAGTTCAACCCAGCACAGACGCTCCTTACGACAAGTTGAAGGAAGAGGTACTTCGATGCACTTCACTTTCAGATAGGCAAACACTCGATCGTTTGTTAAGCAATGTAGAGCTAGGTGATAAAAACCCATCACAACTCATGAGGCACATGCAAAGCCTAGTAGCAGGAAGAGATATCGAAAACGTCTCTTTTACCAAATTTGGTTGCGACGACTTCCTGCAAACATTCAGCAAGTTCTTGCTTCGGAGACGACGACATTGACATAGAAAAGCTCGCCAAAATTGCGGATCGCATGTACGAGAGGTCAACACCTCAATCTATTGCTTCCACTAGCAGAATACCAGACACTCACGACAGGATACAGACTCTAGAACACAAAGTCGACACCTTACTGAGTCAGTTAGCAGCACTGACCACACACACACGACCAAGCCGTTCTAGAAGCTCGTCTCGTCGACGTCTTTCTCGGTCACCCAGCACGTCACGACATCACGATACTATTTGCTGGTACCACCGTAGTTACGGAAGCAATGCACGACGGTGTCGTTCACCTTGCAACTTTCAGGCTAAACCAAAAGATATATCGTCATGTATGAAAACTTCTACTGTCGGCAATCTACGATCTAGCAGTCGTTTGTTTTATGTAACAGATAGAAATACCGGTACTACGTTCTTAGTCGACACAGGAGCAGAGGTTAGTGTTCTCCCTCCGTCTACGCAGGAACGTCAACATCCTGACCCTGCAGTTACGCTCCAAGCAGTTAATAAGTCTAATATTGTTACATATGGTAGTAAACGAATGACTTTAGATTTTGGTCTGCAGAATACCTACACTTGGTCTTTCATCATCGCAGACGTTCCATCCCCAATCCTTGGTATAGATTTTCTACAGCAACACAAACTGCTGGTTGATCCGGTTAGCCCTAAGCTTATAGACTCGCTCAATAAAAGGTACATCGCTGGTACGATTAGCCGTGCATCATCGCTGAACTTGATGGTCACACGCACACCAGCATCTCCATATACTGACTTAGTAAATCAGTTCCCTGACCTTCTACAACCCTCTTTCCGAGCAACAGAACTAAAGCAT